GTTTACCTAGGGTGAAACTAGATCAGAGATCGACTACGTGTGTTTGTGTGTTTACCTAGGGTGAAACTAGATCTGAGATCGACTACGTGTGTTTGTGTGTTTACCTAGGGTGAAACTAGATCAGAGATCGACTACGTGCTACCAGAGAACAAGGAGCATCAGTACCCGGCTCTGCTGGAAGTGCTGGAGGACGAGGCCATGAGACTCAACATCTTGGGCTACGGCCTGAGTGCCACATCCATGGAGGACGTCTTTGTGAAGTAAGGCAGGCTAGGCTATTTGACGTCTTTGTGAAGTAAGGCAGGCTAGGATATTTGACGTCTTTGTGAAGTAAGGCAGGCTAGGCTATTTAACATCTTTGTGAAGTAAGGCAAGCTAGGCTATTTGACGTCTTTGTGAAGTAAGGTAGGCTAGGCTATTTAACGTCTTTGTGAAGTAAGGCAGGCTAGGCTATTTGACGTCTTTGTGAAGTAAGGCAGGCTAGGCTATTTGACGTCTTTGTGAAGTAAGGCAGGCTAGGCTATTTGACGTCTTTGTGAAGTAAGGCAGGCTAGGCTATTTAACATCTTTGTGAAGTAAGGCAGGCTAGGCTATTTGACATCTTTGTGAAGTAAGGCAGGCTAGGCTATTTGACGTCTTTGTGAAGTAAGGCAGGCTATGCTATTTGACGTCTTTGTGAAGTAAGGCAGACTAGGCTATTTGACGTCTTTGTGAAGTAAGGCAGGCTTGGCTTTTTGACGTCTTTGAAGTAAGGCAGGCTAGGCTATTTGACGTCTTTGTGAAGTAAGGCAGGCTAGGCTATTTGACGTCTTTGTGAAGTAAGGCAGGCTAGGCTATTTGACGTCTTTGTGAAGTAAGGCAGGCTAGGCTATTTGACGTCTTTGTGAAGTAAGGCAGGCTAGGCTATTTGACGTCTTTGTGAAGTAAGGCAGGCTAGGCTATTTAACATCTTTGTGAAGTAAGGCAAGCTAGGCTATTTGACGTCTTTGTGAAGTAAGGCAGGCTTGGCTATTTGACGTCTTTGTGAAGTAAGGCAGGCTTGGCTATTTGACGTCTTTGTGAAGTAAGGCAGGCTAGGCTATTTGACGTCTTTGTGAAGTAAGGCAGGCTTGGCTATTTGACGTCTTTGTGAAGTAAGGCAGGCTAGGCTATTTGACGTCTTTGTGAAGTAAGGCAGGCTAGGCTATTTGACGTCTTTGTGAAGTAAGGCAGGCTAGGCTATTTGACGTCTTTGTGAAGTAAGGCAGGCTAGGCTATTTGACGTCTTTGTGAAGTAAGGCAGGCTAGGCTATTTGACGTCTTTGTGAAATAAGGCAGACTAGGCTATTTGACGTCTTTGTGAAGTAAGGCAGGCTAGGCTATTTGACGTCTTTGTATCCTTATATAATATTGTATTGGTTTGTGTTTGCGTTACGTTTGTATTTGTGTATTGCATTTGCGTTGTGTTTGTGTTTTGATGTCGTTATATAGTGTTATATCGGTGGATATAATATCGTGATTCCATCTTTTCCTAGAGTAGGTGCGGGAGAGAGAGCGGAAGACGTCATCGAAGAAAGTATCAGGTAAGTCTTTGAAAGACACGGTATCAGGTAAGTCTTTGAAAGAGACGGACCAAGCACAGGACACAGAACCTTATCACGTGACTACAGATTTTTTTGGTGTACATCAACTGCATGTTTAGTCGCAGGCTCTGGTCTGTCCTTGTAGTCAGGGCATGACGGTAACAGCTACTGACAGCTGACTGACACAATGACATCAGCTGATTGACACAATGACATCAGCTGATTGACACAATGACATGAGCTGACACAATGACATCAGCTGACACAATGACATCAGCTGACACAATGACATCAGCTGACACAATGACATCAGCTGACACAATGACATCAGCTGACACAATGACATCAGCTGGCACAATGACATCAGCTGACACAATGACATCAGCTGACACAATGACATCAGCTGACACAATGACATCAGCTGACACAATGACATCAGCTTAATGACAGAATGACATCAGCTGACACAATGACATCAGCTTAATGACAGAATGACATCAGCCGACACAATGACATCAGCGTAATGACAGAATGACATCAGCCGACACAATGACATCAGCCGACACAATGACATCAGCTGACACAATGACATCAGCTGACACAATGACATCAGCTGACACAATGACATCAGCTTAATGACACAATGACATCAGCCGACACAATGACATCAGCTGGCTGACACAATGACATCAGCTGACTGACACAATGACATCAGCTGACTGACACAATGACATCTGCTGACACAATAACATCAGCTGACACAATGACATCAGCTGACTGACACAATAACATCAGCTGACTGACACAATGACATCAGCTGACTGACACAATGACATCAGCTGACACAATAACATCACTGACACAATAACATCAGCTGACACAATGACATCAGCCGACACAATGACATCAGCTGACTGACACAATAACATCAGCTGACTGACAGTGCTGTGTTTGATTACGTGTTGGCAGACATTGCTGCTGGATTCCCCCCCCCCCCCCCCACAGCCTCCCCCCCCCCCCCACAGCCTCCCCCCCCCCACAGCCTCCCCCCCCCATCCCTAGAGAGCTCTAACTTAAATATGATATTACTGTCATCTTTACAGAGAGAGATCGACCTTAAAATTCTCTATAGATCTGCTAGCGTCAGGTGGGTTTCATTATACATTTCTTGTACTTTTAGCGTGGCAATGTGTACTGATCTCCAATGTCAATGTGTGTAGATGTTAGATTGTTTATATCCCGTGACACAGTGTGTAGATGTTAAATTATTTATATCCCATGACACAGTGTGTAGATGTGTTACTGTTTATATTCCGTGACACTGTGTGTAGATGTATAACTCTGTATGTCATGAGCTCGCGCCGCCCAACAAATTGTGAATGGAATTATGGATCCACAGAAAAACTGTTCGGGAAATTTATGGAGTCTAAAAACAACGAAAGAGCTGTCCTCTTCTTCCAGCAGTTGAAGGGAATTTTCATCAAGAAGTTGACCCTGTTCCGGCGTAACCCGCTGTCGTCGTGTCTGCTGCTGGCGGTGCCCGTGGTGGTGGTGCTGCTGGGCGTGTACGGGGACATCGCCCGCCAGGTCACCTACGTGCCCCCCCTCGTCTTTAACCTTGACCGATTCTCCGGGCTTGTCGTGCCCATCTGGACCAATGAAAACACGTCCCTGGACCTGGTGGAAGCCTACAAGAAACAGTTTCGGTTCGCCAAGTTCCCAAAGCTCCTGACGGTAAGTGTGACGTCAGGACGGTTAGTGGGATGGTTAATGTGACGTCATGACGGCTAGTCTTTCGTTCTGACGGTAAGTGTGACGTCCTGACGATCAGAATGACGTTCTGACGGTTATGATGGTGAGTATGACGTCACTAATAAGGTATGAAGGAAGGTCGTGTTTAAAGTTTAGAGCACCTACGCCGTGGCGAACTTACTAGAGGCCAGTACACCTATAGGAAAAACTAGCAAGATTTCAGTTGGTAGGAACAGATATACTCTATTTTATCTGCACATAACACCGCCACTATGTCATGGGTTTATCCAAGTCTATACCTTCATATATAGACTACAACCACACATCTACCGTCATTGAAAACTGTCGACGTACATTCTCCCCTCCCCCCCACTACCACCACCGTTTTGTTACAGAACGACACCAACAGAAAACTGCCGACATACATTCTCCCCTCCCCCCCCCCACCACCACCACCGTTTTGTTACAGAACGACAGCAACAGGTACTTCCTGCAGTACGCCAAACAAAACGGCAAGGAGTTTTACGAAATGAAAATGGTTTTTGGTGTCAAGTTTGATCCTCCCAGGCCGACTGTGTTGTTCTTCCAAGGCCAGATCGTTCAGGCACAGGGCATTGCGGTCAGTATAGGCAGAAAGATAGGGGAGGGCGGGGGGTACATATGTCCCCGGGCGCCGACCATAGGGGGCGCCAAAATGGGTTGAACAAAAAATTAAAAGCTCATTTTAGCTGCAGTTTTGCTTTATTAATATAACAATATTGGGCGGGGAGGGGGGGGGGGGGCGCCAGATTGAAAGATTGTCCCCGAGCGCCGGAAAGGGTCGCTACGCCTCTGGGGCTGGGGGGGGGGGTTAGGTGTAGACAGGCACAGAGTATAGTGGTAAGGGGGGGGGGGAGGGTATTATGTATACATTTGGTGGTGGTGATCTAGATTTGGGGTTTCAGCATGTTGGGATGCTTGTATGACTGCCCTTTATGTCCGACTACTGAGATGACCTTCTGTAGGTCACACTACTGACCTGACCTTCTGTAGGTCACACTACTGACCTGACCTTCTGTAGGTCACACTACTGACCTGACCTTCTGTAGGTCACACTACTGACCTGACCTTCTGTAGGTCACACTACTGACCTGACCTTAGGTAGGTCACACTACTGACCTTCTGTAGGTCACACTACTGACCTTCTGGAGGTCACACTACTGACATGACCTTCTGTAGGTCACACTACTGACATGACCTTCTGTAGGTCACACTATTGACCTTCTGTAGGTCAAACTACTGACATGACCTTCTGTAGGTCACACTACTGACTTGACCTTCTGGAGGTCACAACTACTGACATGACCTTCTGTAGGTCACACTATTGACATGACCTTCTGTAGGTCACACTATTGACATGACCTTCTGTAGGTCACACTACTGACATGACCTTCTGTAGGTCACACTACTGACATGACCTTCTGTAGGTCACACTACTGACATGACCTTCTGTAGGTCACACTACTGACATGACCTTCTGTAGGTCACACTATTGACCTTCTGTAGGTCACACTACTGACTCGACCTTCTGTAGGTCCAGCTGCTGATTAACGCCCAAGTGGAAGACGCCCTGGGCGCAGATTTCGCCGTCGAGACGGGTGTGACACTGTACGAGCGGCCGGTGGAGAGGGCAAGGTCGACCTTCGAGTACCAGACTATGCTGGGGATCAGCTTCGCCATGGCCTTTATCCCAGTCTTGTTCATCAATAGTCTCATCTCGGAGCGGGCAGTAGGTCTTGGTTTTCTTATATCACAGGGGCCGGGCAGTAGGTCCTGGTTTTCTTATATCATTGGGAGCGGGCAGTAGGTCTATATTTACTTATCCCAAGATCTGTGAACCCCTTTATCCCAAGACCTGTGAACCCCCTTATCCCAAGACCTGGTAAACCCCCTTATCCCAAGACCTGTGAACTCCCTTATCCCAAGACCTGTAAACCCCCTTATCCCAAGACCTGTGAACCCCCTTATCCCAAGACCTGTAAACCCCCTTATCCCAAGACCTGTGAACCCCCTTATCCCAAGACCCGTGTACCCCCTTATCCCAAGACCCGTGAACCCCCTTATCCCAAAAAATGTGAGCCCCCTTATCCTAATACCCGTGTAACCCCCCCCCCCCCATATCGTAAAACCTGTGTACCCCCTTATCCCAAGACATGTGAACCCCCTTATCCCAAGACCTGGTAAACCCCCTTATCCCAAGACCTGTGAACTCCCTTATCCCAAGACCTGTAAACCCCCTTATCCCAAGACCTCTAAACCCCCTTATCCCAAGACCTGTGTACCCCTTATTCCAACACCTATGTACCCCCTTATCCCAAGACATGTGAACCCCCTTATCCCAAGACCTGTGAACCCCTTATCCCAAGACCTGTAAACCCCCTTATCCCAAGACATGTGAACCCCCCTTATCCCAAGATTTGTGAACCCCCTTATCCCAAGACCTGTGAACCCCCTTATCCAAAGACCCGTGTAAAACCCCCTTATCCCAAGACCTGTGTACCCCCCTATCTCCAGACCTGTGTACCCCCTTATCCCAAGACCTGTAAACCCCCTTATTCCAAGACCTGTAAACCCCCTTATCCCAAGACATGTGAACCCCCCTTATCCCAAGATCTGTAAACCCCCTTATCCAATCCCAAGACCTGTGAACCCCCTTATCCGTGACCCGTGTATCCCTAGACTGGCGCCAAGCTCCTACAAGAGATGAGCGGCGTCCACCCCCTGGCCTACTGGCTGGGCACGTTCGCCTTTGACTTCCCGGTGTTCCTGATGGTGGTGGCGCTGATCATCTGCGCCCTGAACGTCAACCCCTACATCTTCATCATGAACAACCGCTGGCTGGTCACCTTGACCCTGGCCACGGTCTACGGGCTGGCGACCTTCCCCTTCCTCTACTTCCTGCAGAACTCTTTCACGACGCCGTCACGTGGTCTGCTCGTCATCCTCATCGTTAACATCGTCATCGGTAAGTCAGGTCAGGTCAGGTGGTGGTAGATAATGATTGCTACAGTAGTGGTGGTGGTAGATAATGATTGCTACAGTAGGCGTGGTGGTGGTAGATAATGATTGCTACAGTAGTGGTGGTGGTAGATAATGATTGCTACAGTAGTGGTGGTGGTAGATAATGATTGCTACAGTAGGCGTGGTAGTGGTAGATAATGATTGCTACAGTAGTGGTGGTGGTCGATAATGATTGCTACAGTAGGCGTGGTGGTTTTAGATAATGATTGCTACAGTAGTGGTGGTGGTAAGTTATGATAATTTATACCAGGGTTTTTAAACACTGACATTCTGTAAATCCCCCCCCCCCCCCCTTCTATTATATCCTATATCGTTCAGTAGCTTCCTTGTACGTAAAAAAATAGTAACACATTACTTGTTGACCGGATACGTTATAGCGACAAAAGAGGTGGGGTTGTGTTGGGATTGGATTAGTTGCGTTTGGGGTCTGGGTTATGGGGTAGGGCTTGGTAATTACCAGAGTTAATGTTAAAGATATGAGAATAATGATAGAGGTCGACAGGGATATTGATGTGATAAGTACAGCTCTAATATATTCTCTAAGGAGGGCGTCATTGATCAGGGGGTAATGTGCTAGACCCATATATGTATATGTGTGTTTCTATGTGTGGTTGTGTATCTGTGTGTGTGCTCGTGTGCGTGTATGGGTGTGTACATATACTAGTCGCTAGTCTCTCCCCCCCCTCCCCACCAGCCCCCACAGTTTGAGCCCTTACACATCACCGGACTACCCCCCCCCCCCCGTCCCAATTTCTTTCATTCATTTTTCCTGCAGGTATCGCTATTGGCACAGTGATTGGTTTTTTCAAGCTGGGGGGCGTGGCCATTAAGGGCCATTGGGCCGTGTGGAACCAGGTGTGTAGTTTCGTGTCCCCCAACTACCTGCTGTCTGGGATGCTCATCGTCATGATGCTGCAAGTACCGTATGATGCCGTTGGTAAGGTGCTAAGGTGCTCAGCCGACTTTGTCTAGCCGTACCATGCCGTTGGTAAGGTGCTAAGGTGCTAATGTGCTCAACCTACTATGTCTAGCCGTACGATGCCGTACAAAAGTCTGCCAGCTCTCATGTCTGCAGGCATCATCGTGTGGCCGATAAGAATTGACCATTAGCTTGCAGGGGTCTCCAAACTTTTCAGCCCGAGGGCCGCATTGACTATCAGATAGCAGTTCGGGGGCCGAGAACACACTTGAGGTCCAAATAAAAAGAAATCAAAACATGGATGTTGTTTTTTCATAGGCGTAGCGACCCTTCCCGGCGCTCGGGGACAAACTTTTCGATTTTTTGCACCCCCCCCCCCCTCAAACTTTCGATTTGCACCCCCCCCCCTCGAGATTTCGATTTGCACCCCCCCCCCCCTCGAGATTTCGATTTGCACCCCCCCCCCATTCAAACTTTCGATTTTCACCCCCCTCAACCTTTCAATTTATTTTTCCAACCCATTTTGGCGCCCCTAAGGTCGGCGCCCGGGGACATGACAAGTTTAGATCTGAAAGCCTTTATGTGGGTGTATAAATCAGAAACTACATTTTCTTTCCCTTGTAATTTTAGGTTCAGAAAATTTAAATGACTAGTTATGTCTGCAGCAAAGGCCAATTTCCATACCCACTCTTCATCAGACAATAATGGCTGAGCCTTGCCTTTACTTTCCATGAAGTCACCTATTTCCTTTCTTAACTTAAATACTCTGCTAAGAGCTTTCTCACAACTTAGCCATCTTATTGCTGTGTAATATGGTAAATCCTGCGATACTGTGTCTGTTTCTTTCAACATGTCTCTGAACTGTCTATGGTTGAGGCCATGTGACCTTATCAAATTCATCATCTTCACCACAGGATTCATTACATAGCTAATGTCCATATATTTAGCACGCAAAGCTTGCTGGTGAATAATACAGTGCAGGAACATTGGTTCTTGAATGTTTTTCTGATTACACATCTGCTTCACTTGTCCAACCAAGCCTTTCTTTATGCCACTCATGTTCGTTCCTCCATCCACAGTCAGGCAACTGAGATTAGTCCAGTCCAAGTTATAATCAGCAAATGTTTTTTTTCAACTCATTGAATATATCCTCTCCGGTAACAGTGTCATACATGCTATGTAGAGAAGCCAGCTCTTGTGTTATGTTCATTTCTTCATCCACACCTCTAATGAACACAAGAAGTTGAGAGGTGGAACAGCTGTCCAGCGATTCATCCATTGCAATTGAAAAATGGCAAAACCTGCTTGCATGTTTCGTTATTTGAGTCACAATGTTTTCACCCATGTCTGCAACACGGCGGGCGATTGTATTTGCACCCAAAGCTACATTTTCAAATTGTTTTGACTTTTCTGGGCAAAGTTCCTCAGCCACCTTCATCAAACATTCCTTCACTACTTCACCATCTGTAAACGGTTTGCCACTTTTAGCCAGGACATAGGCAACATTATAACTGGCCTTTGTTAAGGCTTCATTTTCATTTGAGGATTTATTGATCAACGTCCTCTGAGATGTGAGTTGGTTTTTTAATTTAGAATATGTTTTGGCACGGACTTTACCCTCCAACTGTGCATATTTACCCTGATGTTTGCTTTGATGATGACGGCGCAGGTTGTATTCTTTCATCACAGCCACGGTTTCATTGCAAATCAGACACAGTGCTTTATCTCCGGATTTTATGAAGAAGTATTTCAAATTCCATTCTTCTTGAAATTGCCGACACTCATCGTCTATTTTCCTTTTCTTCTTCTCGGCCATCGATGAGAGCTAAAAATAAATGAATTCAACGTGAAAAAAAAAGTGAAACACGATATCGCTTAAAAAAAAACACCTGATTATGCGATGCCCAAAGATGCTGTAGGCCTCAGTTTACGCTGATTACCCCTTGGTTACGACCTAGCTAGGTGTAAGAGGCGTCGTGGGGCCTAAGATGAAACCTTTGCAGGGCTGTACTCAAACGCTTCCGAAATTTTCATGGCGATCGGATGAAAGATGTCGTAATGCGTAATAATTACAAAAACGTTTTTTTTTATATGTGTCAGCTCAAGCGTTGGATAACCTCCTGATTTAGGGGCCATCCACAACATGTCACATTTTTTAAACAACTCACAAAAAGCATGAACCTCGCCCCTAAATGACGTCATTTGGTAACAGTAAATGACTATAAATGGTGTTCAATCTATTTATTTACTAATGGTTAACCTTTTCTAAACAATATAAAAATTATCCTACCTTGTTTGTTCTGTGAATCAGATGCACCAAATACTATGCAAGTAAAAATTTGTCTGCTGACCAGTGCTTGCTAGTGTCTGACAAAATTTGAAGTGGCGAATACTCGGTTAGGAAGTTGACAAACGATACATTTATCTCTATTCGATACTTGCGATGCTAGAAAGAGGGGTGGGATGGGGGTCGGCTCGGGAAAAAACATGAAAAAGACAACAAAGCGCCGATGTACGCCAGAAGTTTGGGATGGTACTTTTCCAAAAGTCAATTATAAAACTTTCTCAGGGGAGATAATTCAAAGTATAGGCACTACAAGCTTACTATGACATTTCTTGTAAAAGTAAAAACAAGTTAACGTATGTAAAACCTAAGTTTCTAGTATTACGTTATTTTTGATAATTTGTAGGATACAGAATAGTACAGGATAGAAGCTATACGAAAATCACAAACACATATTTTACATTGAAAATGTACAAAGGACTTCGGGCCCCTAACCAATGGCACAAAGAAGGAACGCACATCATGAAAGCCCACTATATTTCTAGCGGCTTCTCGAGCTAGAGACTTTGTTGTTGTTTTTTTCAAAGAATTGTGCCGACGACAGCGTGGTTTATTTTAGAAGTAAGAGAGCTCGGATGAAAGCCCACTACATATCTAGCGGCTTCTCAAGCTAAAGTTTTTTTTTAAAAGAATTATGCCGACGTCAGTGTGTTTGATTGTAGGTTTTTTTTCTACCTAAATAATAAAAAAACTGGTTTCGGCAGATATGTTTGGGTTTTTATTGCTGAGGACGGCAAAACAAATAAAAATGTCCGTAACTTTTTCCGCAGCTAAAAAGATGTCCGCGGGCCGGATAAAACAGCCTCGCGGGCCGCATCCGGCCCGCGGGCCGTAGTTTGGAGACCCCTGAGCTTAGGTATCACCAATTAGCATTATAATTTCATTGTATCATATGTCTATCACATTTCGAACCTGTCTAAATATCATTGTATATCACCTGTCTTAATTTGATTACACCTCTTCATGAATGTTATTCTATCACATGCTTGAATGTCAATCTACCACAGATGGCTTCCAGTTTCTCTTCTCACGCGATCACAACTTCCTGACAGAAAACAGCTACAAACTTTTGTGTCAGGCGGCCGTGGCCTGGGTGTTGGTCATCTTGTTGGACTACAAGGTCCATAGGTCATTCTGGTAGGTTGGTCATCTTACTGGACTACAAGGTCCACAGGTCATTCTGGTAGGTTGGTCATCTTGTTGGACTAAAAGGTCCATAGGTCATTCTGATATTTATATATATATATATATATATATATATATATATATATATATATATATATATATATATATATATATATATATATATATATATATATATATATATATATATATATATATATATATATATATATATATATATATATATATATATATATATATATATATATATATATATATATATATATATATATACATACTCTTAAAACAGCAGAAGACGTATCACATTGGTAGGGTAGATAACATTGAATATTGTAACGCCAGGTACTTGATCGTGTGGCTCTTGAGGCGACCGTTAAAAAAATGGACGGGTCATCCAGACAAAACCCCGTTGGAGGAGGACAGTGACGTCACAAAGGAGAGAAAACGGGTGAAAGACACGCAGAAGGAAACATTACTACAGACTGGTAGCGTGGTGGTCTTGTGCTACGTTGTGTTCAGTGTGTTGTTGTGTTGTGTTTAATAGTGAAGAATGTTCAGACTCTAGTGCAGAAGAGAAGCACACATTTTTATATTGTTCAACATTCCTTTGTATTTTCTATATCTCCACCGTCTGCCCATGTCCCTACAATGTTGGTGGTTTCATATCTCCACCGTCTGCCCTACAATGTTGGTGGTTTCATATCTCCACCGTCTGCCCATGTCCCTACAATGTTGGTGGTTTCATATCTCCACCGTCTGCCCATGTCCCTACAATGTTGGTGGTTTCATATCTCCACCATCTGCCCATGTCCCTACAATGTTGGTGGTTTCATATCTCCACCGTCTGCCCATGTAAAATGTTGGTGGTTTCATATCTCCACCGTCTGCCCTACAATGTTGGTGGTTTCATATCTCCACCGTCTGCCCATGTCCCTACAATGTTGGTGGTTTCATATCTCCACCATCTGCCCATGTCCCTACAATGTTGGTGGTTTCATATCTCCACCGTCTGCCCATGTCCCTACAATGTTGGTGGTTTCATATCTCCACCATCTGCCCATGTCCCTACAATGTTGGTGGTTTCATATCTCCACCGTCTGCCCTACAATGTTGGTGGTTTCATATCTCCACCGTCTGCCCATGTCCCTACAATGTTGGTGGTTTCATATCTCCACCGTCTGCCCATGTCCCTACAATGTTGGTGGTTTCATATCTCCACCGTCTGCCCTACAATGTTGGTGGTTTCATATCTCCACCGTCTGCCCATGTCCGTACAATGTTGGTGGTTTCATATCTCCACCGTCTGCCCATGTCCCTACAATGCTGGTGGTTTCATATCTCCACCGTCTGCCCATGTCCCTACAATGTTGGTGGTTTCATATCTCCATTGTCTGCCCATGTCCCTACAATGTTGGTGGTTTCATATCTCCACCATCTGCCCATGTCCCTACAATGTTGGTGGTTTCATATCTCCACCATCTGCCCATGTCCCTACAATGTTGGTGGTTTCATATCTCCACCGTCTGCCCATGTCCCTACAATGTTGGTGGTTTCATATCTCCACCATCTGCCCATGTCCCTACAATGTTGGTGGTTTCATATCTCCACCGTCTGCCCATGTCCCTACAATGTTGGTGGTTTCATATCTCCACCGTCTGCCCATGTCCCTACAATGTTGGTGGTTTCATATCTCCACCGTCTGCCCTACAATGTTGGTGGTTTCATATCTCCACCGTCTGCCCATGTCCCTACAATGTTGGTGGTTTCATATCTCCACCGTCTGCCCTACAATGTTGGTGGTTTCATATCTCCACCGTCTGCCGATGTCCGTACAATGTTGGTGGTTTCATATCTACGTCTGCCCATGTCCCTACAATGTTGGTGGTTTCATATCTCCACCGTCTGCCCATGTCCCTACAATGTTGGTGGTTTCATATCTCCACCATCTGCCCATGTCCCTACAATGTTGGTGGTTTCATATCTCCACCGTCTGCCCATGTCCCTACAATGTTGGTGGTTTCATATCTCCACCATCTGCCCATGTCCCTACAATGTTGGTGGTTTCATATCTCCACCGTCTGCCCATGTCCCTACAATGTTGGTGGTTTCATATCTCCATTGTCTGCCCATGTCCCTACAATGTTGGTGGTTTCATATCTCCACCGTCTGCCCTACAATGTTGGTGGTTTCATATCTCCATTGTCTGCCCATGTCCCTACAATGTTGGTGGTTTCATATCTCCACCGTCTGTCCATGTCCCTACAATGTTGGTGGTTTCATATCTCCACCATCTGCCCATGTCCCTACAATTTTGGTGGTTTCATATCTCCACCGTCTGCCCATGTCCCTACAATGTTGGTGGTTTCATATCTCCACCATCTGCCCATGTCCCTACAATTTTGGTGGTTTCATATCTCCACCGTCTGTCCATGTCCCTACAATGTTGGTGGTTTCATATCTCCACCGTCTGCCCATGTCCCTACAATTTTGGTGGTTTCATATCTCCACCATCTGCCCATGTCCCTACAATTTTGGTGGTTTCATATCTCCACCGTCTGCCCATGTCCCTACAATTTTGGTGGTTTCATATCTCCACCATCTGCCCATGTCCCTACAATTTTGGTGGTTTCATATCTCCACCGTCTGCCCATGTCCCTACAATTTTGGTGGTTTCATATCTCCACCATCTGCCCATGTCCCTACAATTTTGGTGGTTTCATATCTCCACCGTCTGCCCATGTCCCTACAATTTTGGTGGTTTCATATCTCCACCGTCTGTCCATGTCCCTACAATGTTGGTGGTTTCATATCTCCACCGTCTGCCCTACAATGTTGGTGGTTTCATATCTCCACCGTCTGCCCATGTCCCTACAATGTTGGTGGTTTCATATCTACGTCTGCCCATGTCCCTACAATGTTGGTGGTTTCATATCTTCGTCTGCCCATGTCCCTACAATGTTGGTGGTTTCATATCTCCACCGTCTGCCCATGTCCCTACAATGTTGGTGATTCTAGATGCCCTCCTGATGGTGGACCTCCAAAAGACCTACTGCCATCTGACGTCTTGCAAGCCCGCGGTTCACCCGACAAATCTGGGGATTCCCGACAAGGAGTGTCTGGGTCTGCTGGGCAAGAACGGTGCCGGGAAGACAACTCTGTTTAAAATGCTGACGGGTGACCTGAGCATCACCAAAGGAAACGTCTACATGAAAGGGAAAAACATAAAAACGCACTTAAAAACCGTGGGTCACACTTGATTTCCGTTTGCTTTAATTTTAAATTTCATCATTACTACTGGTGAATGTCCAGTCTATGATGAGTTACTTCCCTTAATGTAACAGGTCCAGTGTATGATGAGTTACTGCCCTTAATGTTACATGTCCAGTCTATGATGAGTTACTGCCCTTAATGTTACAGGTCCAGTCTATGATGAGTTACTGCCCTTAATGTTACAGGTCCAGTCTATGATGAGTTACTGCCCTTAATGTTACAGGTCCAGTCTATGCTGAGTTACTGCCCTTAATGTTACAGGTCCAGTCTATGATGAGTTACTGCCCTTAATGTTACAGGTCCAGTCTATGATGAGTTACTTCCCTTAATGTAACAGGTCCAGTGTATGATGAGTTACTGCCCTTAATGTTACAGGTCCAGTCTATGATGAGTTACTGCCCTTAATGTTACAGGTCCAGTCTATGATGAGTTACTGCCCTTAATGTTACAGGTCCAGTCTATGATGAGTTACTGCCCTTAATGTTACAGGTCCAGTCTATGCTGAGTTACTGCCCTTAATGTTACAGGTCCAGTCTATGATGAGTTACTGCCCTTAATGTTACAGGTCCAGTCTATGATGAGTTACTTCCCTTAATGTAACAGGTCCAGTGTATGATGAGTTACTGCCCTTAATGTTACAGGTCCAGTCTATGATGAGTTACTGCCCTTAATGTTACAGGTCCAGTCTATGATGAGTTACTGCCCTTAATGTTACAGGTCCAGTCTATGATGAGTTACTGCCCTTAATGTTACAGGTCCAGTCTATGATGAGTTACTGCCCTTAATGTTACAGGTCCAGTCTATGATGAGTTACTGCCCTTAATGTTACAGGTCCAGTGTGTGATGAGTTACTGCCCTTAATGTTACAGGTCCAGTCTATGATGAGTTACTTCCCTTAATGTAACAGGTCCAGTGTATGATGAGTTACTGCCCTTAATGTTACAGGTCCAGTCTATGATGAGTTACTGCCCTTAATGTTATAGGTCCAGTCTATGATGAGTTACTGCCCTTAATGTTACAGGTCCAGTCTATGATGAGTTACTGCCCTTAATGTTACAGGTCCAGTCTATTATGAGTTACTGCCCTTAATGTTACAGGTCCAGTCTATGATGAGTTACTGCCCTTAATGTTACAGGTCCAGTCTATGATGAGTTACTGCCCTTAATGTTACAGGTCCAGTCTATGATGAGTTACTGCCCCCAGTTTGACGCCCTCCATGACGTGTTGACAGGACGAGAGACCCTGTACCTGTACGGCAGGTTGAGGGGGGTGCAGGAGGGCAGCCTGCGTGAGGTGACCGAGACCATCATCGACTTCATCACACTGAGGCCTCACGAGGACAAGTGCACATCACACTACAGGTTTTTGACGCCATCTCATCGTACAACTCACGTGACATTTGATCTACTGGTTATCGAGATCTGATACCATCAATAGAATAAAAATAAATTAGGCTGGCTAGTGGTCGATATATCTAATCCACATTTTAGGCTGGTTAGTGGTCGATATATCTAATCCACATTTTAGGCTGGTTCGTGGTCGATATATCTAATCCACATTTTAGGCTGGCTAGTGGTCGATATATCTAATCCACATTTTAGGCTGGTTAGTGGTCGATATATCTAATCCACATTTTAGGCTGGCTAGTGGTCGATATATCTAATCCACATTTTAGGCTGGCTAGTGGTCGATATATCTAATCCACATTTTAGGATGGCTAGTGGTTGATTTATCCAACCCACATTTACGGGTGGCTAGCGTTTGATATATCGTATCGATAGTGGCGGCAACAAGAGGAAGCTGTCTGTTGGTATAGCAATCATCGGCAACCCCCACTTCATCATGTTGGACGAGCCGACAGCTGGTCTGGATCCGGTGTCCAGGAGAAGTCTATGGCGGTGTCTGCATATGATCAGGTCAGCTGAGAGAACACTGGTGCTGGCGTCACACAGGTAGGTGAACACAGGTGTGTGGTCACGTGGTTAGGTGGACGATGGTGCTGACGTCACACAGGTAGGTGAATACAGGTCACGTAGTTAGGTGGACGATGGTGCTGACGTCACACAGGTAGGTGAACACAGGTGTGAGGTCACGTAGTTAGGTGGACGATGGTGCTGACGTCACACAGGTAGGTGAACACAGGTGTGAGGTCACGTAGTTAGGTGGACGATGGTGCTGACGTCACACAGGTAGTTGAATACAGGTCACGTAGTTAGGTGGACGATGGTGCTGACGTCACACAGGTAGGTGAACACAGGTGTGTGGTCACGTAGTCAGGTGGACGATGGTGCTGACGTCACACAGGTAGGTGAATACAGGTCACGTAGTTAGGTGGACGATGGTGCTGACGTCACACAGGTAGGTGAACACAGGTGTGAGGTCACGTAGTTAGGTGGACGATGGTGCTGACGTCACACAGGTAGGTGAATACAGGTCACGTAGTTAGGTGGACGATGGTGCTGACGTCACACAGGTAGGTGAATACAGGTCACGTAGTTAGGTGGACGATGGTGCTGACGTCACACAGGTAGGTGAATACAGGTCACGTAATTAGGTGGACGATGGTGCTGACGTCACACAGGTAGGTGAACACAGGTGTGAGGTCACGTAGTTAGGTGGACGATGGTGCTGACGTCACACAGGTAGGTGAATACAGGTCACGTAGTTAGGTGGACGATGGTGCTGACGTCACACAGGTAGGTGAACACAGGTGTGAGGTCACGTAGTTAGGTGGACGATGGTGCTGACGTCACACAGGTAGGTGATTACAGGTCACGTAGTTAGGTGGACGATGGTGCTGACGTCACACAGGTAGGTGAACACAGGTGTGAGGTCACGTAGTTAGGTGGACGATGGTGCTGACGTCACACAGGTAGGTGAATACAGGTCACGTAGTTAGGTGGACGATGGTGCTGACGTCACACAGGTAGGTGAACACAGGTGTGAGGTCACGTAGTTAGGTGGACGATGGTGCTGACGTCACACAGGTAGGTGAATACAGGTCACGTAGTTAGGTGGACGATGGTGCTGACGTCACACAGGTAGGTGAACACAGGTGTGAGGTCACGTAGTTAGGTGGACGATGGTTCTGACGTCACACAGGTAGGTGAATACAGGTCACGTAGTTAGGTGGACGATGGTGCTGACGTCACACACGTAGGTGAACACAGGTGTGAGATTACGTAGTTATGTGGACGATGGTGCTGACGTCACACAGGTAGGTGAACACAGGTGTGAGGTCACGTAGTTAGGTGGACGATGGTGCTGACGTCGGGTCTACGACAAATTCCCGAAAGACACTTGCCCGAATGCCGTTTGCCCGAAGGCCGATTTCCCGAATGGACACTTGCCCGAATGCGACAAATGCCCGAATGGACACTTGCCCGAATGCGACAAATGCCCGAATGGACACTTGCCCGAATGCGACAAATGCCCGAATGGACACTTGCCCGAATGGGACAAATGCCCGAATGGACACTTGCCCGAATGCGACAAATGCCCGAATGCCACTTGCCCGAAGGCCGTTTGCCCGAAAAATGTTAACATTATATATTACTAAATAATCATTTGTAATCAATTTAAATTTAAAATGTTAGTAAACAAAACACATCTGCACAAAAAGAAAGTGAAAAAATAATATTATATATTACCACGCAGACTTTTAAAATTAATTTGTATTTAAAAATTTAAAAAGTGTAGAAACATACTTTCTCTTCCATATATGAAATTAGACAAAAATACAATTTTCATTCATCTCCGGATTTTAAAATGAATTTTGCTTTCTTTATTAAGTAATCGCTTCAACACATTGTCTTAACAAGGCGCATTAAATGAGATCAAACATATTTGGCTACGTTTAGTTTTAAACATCGCCACCTAGACCTCGCCTCATTCTTTTGTTAAATGATCACCACACAAGTTAAGCATAACAAGATAAATCAAACAAAGAGAATCAAACGCGCCTCTGTTCAATGTTGCGAGACGCCGCGCCGCCTACGCCGTGTCATAAAAGCTATATAACCACCGCAACACGTCGGCTAAACAAGGTGTTCAAAACATTCATCAAAAGAATGTTAGAACGCCGCCGCCAACATCACCTACATTTATTAAAGAATAAAGTTTTTCTTACAGCACTTTCTCAGTTTTGAAAAAAAAAAAGATAAATTTAAAAGTATAAACAACTTTGTTTTATGCTTAGAATTGTGTTTTTAATTAAAAAAAATTCAAACTTAAATTGATTAAAGAATGTCTATTTGGAAATATTATTTATTATCTAATATTAACATTTTTCGGGCAAACGGCCTTCGGGCAAGTGGCATTCGGGCATTTGTCGCATTCGGGCAAGTGTCCATTCGGGCATTTGTCCCATTCGGGCAAGTGTCCATTCGGGCATTTGTCGCATTCGGGCAAGTGTCCATTCGGGCGTTTGTCGCATTCGGGCAAGTGTCCATTCGGGCGTTTGTCGCATTCGGGCAAGTGTCCATTCGGGCATTTGTCGCATTCGGGCAAGTGTCCATTCGGGAAATCGGCCTTCGGGCAAACGGCATTCGGGCAAGTGTCTTTCGGGAAAACGTCCGGCTCCCGCTGACGTCACACAGGTAGGTAAACACAGGTGTGAGGTTACGTAGTTAGGTGGACGATGGTGCTGACGTCACACAGGTAGGTAAACACAGGTGTGAGGTCACGTAGTTAGGTGGACGATGGTGCTGACGTCACACAGGTAGGTGAATACAGGTCACGTAGTTAGGTGGACGATGGTGCTGACGTCACACAGGTAGGTGAACACAGGTGTGAGGTCACGTAGTTAGGTGGACGATGGTGCTGACGTCACACAGGTAGGTGAATACAGGTCACATAGTTAGGTGGACGATGGTGCTGACGTCACACAGGTAGGTGAACACAGGTGTGAGGTCACGTAGTTAGGTGGACGATGGTGCTGACGTCACACAGGTAGGTGAATACAGGTCACGTAGTTAGGTGGACGATGGTGCTGACGTCACACAGGTAGGTGAACACAGGTGTGAGGTCACGTAGTTAGGTGGACGATGGTGCTGACGTCACACAGGTAGGTGAATACAGGTCACGTAGTTAGGTGGACGATGGTGCTGACGTCACACAGGTAGGTGAACACAGGTGTGAGGTCACGTAGTTAGGTGGACGATGGTGCTGACGTCACACAGGTAGGTGAATACAGGTCACGTAGTTAGTTGGACGATGGTGCTGACGTCACACAGGTAGGTAAACACAGGTGTGAGGTCACGTAGTTAGGTGGACGATGGTGCTGACGTCACACAGGTAGGTGAATACAGGTCACGTAGTTAGGTGGACGATGGTGCTGACGTCACACAGGTAGGTGAACACAGGTGTGAGGTCACGTAGTTAGGTGGACGATGGTGCTGACGTCACACAGGTAGGTGAATACAGGTCACATAGTTAGGTGGACGATGGTGCTGACGTCACACAGGTAGGTGAACACAGGTGTGAGGTCACGTAGTTAGGTGGACGATGGTGCTGACGTCACACAGGTAGTTGAATACAGGTCACGTAGTTAGGTGGACGATGGTGCTGACGTCACACACGTAGGTGAACACAGGTGTGAGGTCACGTAGTTAGGTGGACGATGGTGCTGACGTCACACAGGTAGGTGAATACAGGTCACGTAGTTAGGTGGACGATGGTGCTGACGTCACACAGGTAGGTGAACACAGGTGTGAGGTCACGTAGTTAGGTGGACGATGGTGCTGACGTCACACACGTAGGTGAACACAGGTGTGAGGTCACGTAGTTAGGTGGACGATGGTGCTGACGTCACACAGGTAGGTGAACACAGGTGTGAGGTCACGTAGTTAGGTGGACGATGGTGCTGACGTCACAGTTAGTTGAATGGGGGTCATTTAAAATGTAGAGGCGTTGTCCAGCTGGGTACGTTGTTCATATAAAAATGCCCAAATGTGTGATCAAATGTGTTCCGAGGTAGTTGTATTAACGAAAAATCTAGTTCAGAAACCCCACAATGTGGAAACTTGTGGAGGAAAGTCCATTTGGTATGTGGGGGAGGGGTGTGAAGTTGGTATGTTGGGGAGGGGGGGGGGGCTGAAGTGGGTACATATTGTCCGTGTCTTCCAGTGATACATAGGAGAAAAACATTTCAGCATGGAAGAATGCGAATCTCTGTGTACACAGATTGCAATCATCAAGAACGGAAACATTCTTTGTCTGGGCAGTTCTCAGCACTTAAAAACCAAATTCGGTCAAGGCTATTCAGTCTTCTTGCACGCGCAACAACGAGAGGGCGGGAGTTTGACGCCCTTAGAGCCAGCTGTTGAGTTCATTATTGATTGTATTGGCACGGAGGTCAAGGTACGTAAATATTCACATTTGAACTGACATGAACACTGGTAATTTTTCAAGCTCGTCTTCTTCGGCAGCCAACCATGGACATGTAACAGCTCTACCATAACTATGTTTAGTTACCAAAGATCGCTGTTTTAAACTATTTCCTGATTCTATAACTTCTTAGCTTGATTCAGTTGATAATTTTACTTTCTATTGTATCCATCAGTAACGGCCAGTTCCATTTGTTTGTTATCAAATTCCGCACAAATAAAATCATGTAGGTAGCTAGTTGTTTCTCAACGCTGAATACTTTGTTTTTTAGACAGCCAGCAGTTTGTCTCAGTTGGCAGAAATATCAAATATACCCTCATAGTTTTTGGTAGCTTTTTATTCTTTTCTATATTTTCTTTTCACGCACTAATAACAATTTGAACCTGAATGAATACAAATTTAATTTTTTCTAACAAAGGTAAGCTACTTTGCAAATACTAATTTGTAAACCAGATATATTTTATTTCCCAGTAAAACAAAGGAGCTTAGGTCAAAGTACATAAATAAAAATTATTTAAATTTTTTAACCTAAATACTGAAATAAACACAGGTAATAATAATATTAAGCTACACCAATTTTTAAAAAAATAAATAAAAAGATATCAAAGGGAAGCTACTGTACAAAAACTAGCTTGTAAACATAATATACTTAGTTAATTCCCTTAGACCGTGAAAAACTCAATTCAAGGTGCAAATATAAATAGTCACATTTTTTTGTTTTTATATTTTAATCAATTAAAAAATATATATATATCTCCAATCGATGCTGGTAATGATATTCGGCTAGAAAAAGCAGACGAATAAAAAAATATGAATTTATTTTTCCAAAGGGAAGCTACTGTACAAATGCTAGTTTGTAAAGAGAATATATTTAGTTATTTCCCTTAGACCGTGAAAAAAATGGGGCAATGTCAAGGTAAAAATCGTAAAAATCACGTTTTGGTTTGTTTTTGTATAGATTTTTTTATAAAAAAATATTTCTAATCGATAGCGGTGATGATATTGGGCTAGAAAAGCAGACGAATAAAATATGAATTTATTTAATCTAAGGGAAGCTACTGTACATATACTAGTTTGTAAATAGAATATATTTAGTTATTTCCCTTAGACCGTGAAAAAAAAAATGACACAACATCAAGGTAAAAATCTTAAAAATCACGTTTTGGTTTGTTTTTGTATAGATTTTTTTAGAAAAAAATATTTCTAATCGATATTGGTGATGATATTGGGCTAGAAAAGCAGACGAATAAAATATGAATTTATTTAATCTAAGGGAAGCTCCTGTACATATACTAGTTTGTAAATAGAATATATTTAGTTATTTCCCTTAGACCGTGAAAAAAAATGTCAAGGTAAAAATCTTAACAATACCACTATAGTTGATTTTTATATTGAACTTAGATTTTTTTAAAAAGATCTCAGATTGATTTTGGTTATGATATTGGGCTAGAAAACAGACGAATAAAAATACGAATTTATTTGATCAAAGGGAAGCTACTGTACATATACTAATTTGTAAATTGATTATATTTAGTTATTTCCCTTAGACCGTGAAAAAAAATGAAGCGAAGTGAAGGTAAAAAACTTAACAATCACGTTTTGGTTTTGTATATTTTAACCTACATTTTTTTATAAAAAATAGTTCTAGTCGATATTGTTGATGATATTGGGCTAGAAAAGCAAACTAATAAAATATAAATTTCTGATCTAAGGGAAGCTACTGTACATATACTAGTTTGTAAAGAGAATATATTTAGTTATTTCCCTTAGACCGTGAAAAAAAATGAGGCAATGTCACGGTAAAAATCTTAACAATACCACTATAGTTGGTTTTTAAAATATTTTAACTTAGATTTTTTTAAAAAAGATCTCTGATTGATTTGGGTAATGATATTGGGCTAGAAAAAAGACGATTAAAATATGAATTTATTTAATCTAAGGGAAGCTACTGTACATATACTAGTTTGAAAAGAGAATATATTTAGTTATTTCCCCTAGACCGTGATACAAAAATATGACGCAATGTCAAGGTAAAAATCTTAACAATACCAGTATAGTTGTTTTTTATATTGAACTTAGATTTTTAAAAAAGATCTCTGATTTAATGCCCAGCCCTCCTACCTCCCCAGGTGTTTAATGCCCAGCCCCCTACCTCCCCAGGTGTTTAATGCCCAACCCTCCTACCTCCCCAGGTGTTTAATGCCCAACCCTCCTACCTCCCCAGGTGTTTAATGCCCAACCCTCCTACCTCCCCAGGTGTTTAATGCCCAACCTTCCTACCTCCCCAGGTGTTTAACGCCCAACCCTCCTACTACCAACTGCAGGTGCCCGAGAGCACACGCCTGTCCAGACTGTTCAGGATTTTAGTCAGCGCCAAGAAAAATTTTGACTTCCGCCACTTCTCAGTCCAGCAGACGTCCCTAGAGCAGGTCTTCCTGCTGCTCATGAAGGAACAGACAGCACCTCAGCTAGCACCAAAGAATAATGTTTGTTGTCATCTCAGCTATTAAATGTCATTTGTTTGTTGTCATCTTAGCTATTAAATGTCATTTGTTTGTTGTCATCTTAGCTATTAAATGTCATTTGTTTGTTGTCATCTTAGCTATTAAATGTCATTTCAACAAAACCTGCTCTGAACATGTATTTGTTGTCATCTCACCTATTAAATGTCATTTCAACAAAACCTGCTCTGAACATGTATTTGTTGTCATCTCACCTATTAAATGTCATTTCAACAAAACCTGCTCTGAACATGTATTTGTTGTCATCTCACCTATTAAATGTCATTTGTTTGTTGTCATCTTAGCTATTAAATGTCATTTCAACAAAACCTGCTCTGAACATGTATTTGTTGTCATCTCACCTATTAAATGTCATTTCAACAAAACCTGCTCTGAACATGTATTTGTTGTCATCTCACCTATTAAATGTCATTTCAACAAAACCTGCTCTGAACATGTATTTGTTGTCATCTCACCTATTAAATGTCATTTCAACAAAACCTGCTCTGAACATGTATTTGTTGTCATCTCACCTATTAAATGTCATTTCAACAAAACCTGCTCTGAACATGTATTTGCTTGTGTACAACTGCATTCAAACATGTACAAGACCTGTTGGTGTAGGACCAGATGTGTTAAACTCAAGCTCAGTTTAGCTCTAGCTTTAAGCTCAGTTTGACCAAATAAGCAGGTGTCACTTCAATGAAGGTGTGTCCATGCAATGAGTGGTGACAGTGTAGCTGCCCTGACAGAAGTAAAGTGGTGACACCAATACCTGCAACACAAAATGTGTACTATACAAGTAAAGTGGTGACACCAATAACTACTACACAAAATGTGTACTATACAAGTAAAGTGGTGACACCAATAACTACTACACAAAATGTGTACTATACAAGTAAAGTGGTGACACCAATAACTACTACACAAAATGTGTACTATACAAGTGGTGACACCAATAACTACTACACAAAATGTGTACTATACAAGTAAAGTGGTGACACCAATAACTGCAACACAAAATGTGTACTATACAAGTAAAGTGGTGACACCAATAACACAAAATGTGTACTATACAAGTAAAGTGGTGACACCAATACCTGCTACACAAAATGTGTACTATACAAGTAAAGTGGTGACACCAATACCTGCTACACAAAATGTGTACTATACAAGTAAAGTGGTGACACCAATACCTGCTACACAAAATGTGTACTATACAAGTAAAGTGGTGACACCAATAACTGCAACACAAAATGTGTACTATACAAGTAAAGTGGTGACACCAATAACTACTACACAAAATGTGTACTATACAAGTAAAGTGGTGACACCAATAACTGCTACACAAAATGTGTACTATACAAGTAAAGTGGTGACACCAATAACTACTACACAAAATGTGTACTATACAAGTAAAGTGGTGACACCAATAACTACTACACAAAATGTGTACTATACAAGTAAAGTGGTGACACCAATAACTACTACACAAAATGTGTACTATACAAGTAAAGTGGTGACACCAATAACTACTACACAAAATGTGTACTATACAAGTAAAGTGGTGACACCAATAACTGCAACACAAAATGTGTACTATACAAGTAAAGTGGTGACACCAATAACACAAAATGTGTACTATACAAGTAAAGTGGTGACACCAATACCTGCTACACAAAATGTGTACTTTACAAGTAAAGTGGTGACACCAATACCTGCTACACAAAATGTGTACTATACAAGTAAAGTGGTGACACCAATACCTGCTACACAAAATGTGTACTATACAAGTAAAGTGGTGACACCAATAACTGCAACACAAAATGTGTACTATACAAGTAAAGTGGTGACACCAATAACACAAAATGTGTACTATAGGAGTGCAGTGGTACCAACAAGATACCTTAGATCCCAACAAAATTCTGTTGTCACTACAAACAATGTGAGCAACTACATGGTTACCATGGAAACATCCACCTTTACATAATTACTAAGCTATTACAAAGAGTCAAGAAAGAAGTGAATGTTTATTTGACCCTGACCCCCTCATGTGTGGGGGGTCGTGTGTGTGGAGAAAATATCTGAGTGTGGGTTGATGAGCTCCTGCTCTAGCTCTGCCTGCTGACCCCCTCATGTGTGGGGGGTCATGTGTGGGGGGTCGTGTGTGTGGAGAAAATATCTGAGTGTGGGTTGATGAGCTCCTGCTCTAGCTCTGCCTGGTAGTTGAGGCCTGGCAAGTTTTTCATCATGTGGACACGGTTGGACGACTCCATATAGGCCAGGTCATCTGCACATACATGATATGTGGATCAATAGACAAGCATACAAACACACAGATCATGAACACATACATGGATACGTGGATCAATAGACAAACATACAAACACACAGATCATGAACACATACATGGATACGTGGATCAATAGACAAACATACAAAAACACAGATCATGAACACATACATGGATACGTGGATCAATAGACAAGCATACAAACACACAGATCATGAACACAAACATGGATACGTGGATCAATAGACAAACATACAAACACACAGATCATGAACACATACATGGATACGTGGATCAATAGACAAACATACAAACACACAGATCATGAACACATACATGGATACGTGGATCAATAGACAAACATACAAACACACAGATCATGAACACATACATGGATACGTGGATCAATAGACAAACATACAAACACACAGATCATGAACACATACATGGATACGTGGATCAATAGACAAACATACAAACACACAGATCATGAACACAGACATGATACGTGGATCAATAGACAAGCATACAAACACACAGATCATGAACACATACATGGATACGTGGATCAATAGACAAGCATACAAACACACAGATCATGAACACAGACATGATACGTGGATCAATAGACAAGCATACAAACACACAGATCATGAACACAGACATGATACGTGGATCAATAGACAAGCATACAAACACACAGATCATGAACACATACATGGATACGTGGATCAATAGACAAACATACAAACACACAGATCATGAACACATACATGGATACGTGGATCAATAGACAAACATACAAACACACAGATCATGAACACATACATGGATACGTGGATCAATAGACAAACATACAAACACACAGATCATGAACACATACATGGATACGTGGATCAATAGACAAACAGACAAACACACAGATCATGAACACAGACATGATACGTGGATTAATAGACAGACATACAAACACACAGATCATGAACACAGACATGAAACATATATCAGTATACGCACATATGAAATATAAATATACAACAATTATCTTATTTTAGAGAAACTATGGTTGAAGTAAAAGATTAAAAAACAAAATTAGCATAGAAATTTACTAGTGATTATACCTTGAACAAATTCAGACATAAACCTGCAGTACATAACACTGACTAATTAATTCAATGATTTCAAGGATCTGTCCAATAAAGGTCAAAGTTGAATCTCTCACCTTTAGAGAAAAGCAGGAACTCAGCACATTCGCCTGTAGATGGGGGTAGGACAGCAATACTGGGGAACTCGGTCAAGCAATGACCTTTCAGGTTCCCTGCGATTGACAGGTCAGGCTTCAGCTCAAAGTACCTGGACAGGTACGAAAAAAATTGATCAGATTTGTCTTCAGATGTGAATAGATGACATGACAGGCAAAAATGGAATTTTAAAAATTAATGAATTATTAAAACCATTTTTAACATACACTAGATAGAAATTTTTTTTTTTTTTAAATATTTAAATAACTACAGACAAACATGGGTTGCTATATAATTAATTATTTGTATTTATGTATTGAATACACCTACTAAATGTGTATGATCTCACACACTTTTCTGTATAGATCATTAACTACCGTACATTGCTATATATTTTAGAGAAACATATTTTCTACCACATGCATGAAAACTTGTAATTACTTTTTTTAAAATATTTTAATTCTAAATGTTTAAATGTTTTACTTTAGTATCATATAGCAATTTTTAATTACATTTTTTTAAAAAAATTAATAAACATCAAATTAAGTCAAATCGGGTCTAAAAGCTCATGTTGTTTGAAAGAAATGGGTCTATTAGAAGTGGTGGAAATTTTGCTCAGTTTGAACCCATGGAAAAAAGTAATAATAAATAGGTAAAAAGACTAACGCACAGACAGTGGTGTAGCGAGGTCAGGTGTCACCCGGTACTGCACTTAATGATGTCACCCCCCTCCTCGTTAAATAATTATATATATATATGTGTGTGTGTGTATATATACATATGTATATATATATATATGTACATATATATGTATGTATATATCGGGCACCCGACCACTTTGCTTTATATATAAAAATATTTATATATATATAAAAGAGTATGTATATATGCATGTGTATATGTATTCATATATATTTTTTAATGTATTTTTTTTTACCTCCCCCCTCCCCATACATGGATTAACACATAAGTTATTATGATTCTCTGATTCTCAACCAAACCTTTTACCTCAGGCATATCTTGTAACGTTGAGTTAATGTAACTTCCCCCCACTCTATCATGTTTTCTCTCTCATTAGCAGGTTTACATCACTCAACCCCCCCCCCCCCCCACTGATTCCTTTAAACTGTGTTCAGATATAACACTAATGATTTTTATCTATAGTTGCTTATAAATAGGCCTACAGCTTGATGTAGCATGTTTTCTCTATCATTAGCAGGTTAACGTTATGGTGTCACCCCCCCCCATCCTCCACCCTTGTCAGGATTTGTCAAATTTGCTCTTAAAAGACTATTTAATACTCTAATTAATTACTTAATTATCCTTTTTCTGTATATATTTTGCTATTTTTTGCCTTGGTCAAATAAAAGCTTGAAAAATTGATCAGATCTGCCCCCACATATACTCAAATAATTACCTGGTTCTATTTGTATGTAGGCTGTCACCGTAAATAATTACCTGGTTCTATTGGCATGTAGGCTGTCACCGTAAATAATTACCTGGTTCTATTGGCATGTAGGCTGTCACCGTAAATAATTACCTGGTTCTATTGGCAGGTAGACCATCCACCCTCAGCAAAAACCTGGAACGTTCTAGATTTTCCTTCTTGTATTCCTCCAGAGGTTTCCTCAGCTCTGGATGCTCCACAAAGTTGACAAACTTTTTGGCCGCGTCCATCAGTGGGGTATCCTCTGGCACTCTGGCGACAGACAGATGGCAGGCATCTTTTGTATGACTGGCCCACAACAGACAGTAACAGACAAATGGCAGGCATCTTTTTTATGACTGGCCCACAACAGACAGTAACAGACAAATGGCAGGCATCTTTTTTATGACTGGCCCACAACAGACAGTAACAGACAAATGGCAGACATCTTTTTTATGACTGGCCCACAACAGACAGTAACAGACAAATGGCAGACATCTTTTTTATGACTGGCCCACAACAGACAGTAACAGATGGCAGACATCTTTTTTATGACTGGCCCACAACATACAGTAACAGACAAATGGCAGACATCTTTTTTATGACTGGCCCACAACAGACAGTAACAGACAAATGGCAGACATCTTTTTTATGACTGGCCCACAACAGACAGTAACAGACAAATGGCAGACATCTTTTTTATGACTGGCCCACAACAGACAGTAACAGACAAATGGCAGGCATCTTTTTTATGACTGGCCCACAACAGACAGTAACAGATGGCAGGCATCTTTTTTATGACTGGCCCACAACAGACAGATGGCAGACATCTTTTTTATGACTGGCCCACAACAGACAGTAACAGACAAATGGCAGGCATCTTTTTTATGACTGGCCCACAACAGACAGTAACAAGTCTAGATTAGACAGTTACATGTGCCCAAAGTCTAGATTAGACAGTTACATGTGCCCAAAGAATAGATTAGACAGTTACATGTGCCCAAAGTCTAGATTAGACAAGTTACATGTGGTCACTAGATTAGAGAATTACATGTGCCAAAAGTCTAGATTAGACAGTTACATGTGCCCAAAGTCTAGATTAGACAGTTACATGTGCCCAAAGTCTAGATTAGACAGCTACATGGCCAATTGTGTCAATTCTCAAACTAAGTTTAACTAACCAGTCTAAAATAATGGTATTCTGCATTAAATGACCACTGACTTACTTTTCATCCTTGACCAAAGTTTTTGATGCTACAAAGTTCCATTCTATATGCCACACAATTTTGTCTGTTCTGGTAACAAAAAAAGGACATAAAATCACAGATTAATGTGTTTCGCTGCTATAATTTGTTTTTGAAGATGTCAGTATAATGGGGATGAAATTACTAGATTGTGATGGCCAAATGAATAACAGAACAGGCCAATCTAAATTTTGAAGAAAGGATATAGAACATTAGGATTTAACAGATATAAAGCTTTAAACAAACTCACTCATGGAGCTTTAAAAAGCTTTTTTGTCATGGAATATTTATGACCCCACACGTTACATATCTACCTAGAGGCGACTGACTCCAAACATCTACCTAGTGGCGACTGACTCCAAACATCTACCTAGTGGTGACTGACTCCACTTACTTGATTGTGTAGAAGCTGGTGTTGGTCTTGTGTTTGGACAACATGGGTGCCACCATATGAACTTTGACCCCTCGTTTGTATGCAGCTGTCATCAGCAGTTTACACTGTGGGCAGCAGTTTAAAATGTTACAATTAGTGGGCAGCAGTTTAAAATCATACATTCAGTGGGCAGCAGTTTAAAAGGTTACATTCAGTGGTCAGCATTTTAAAATCATACATTCAGTGGGCAGCAGTTTAAAATGTTACATTCAGTGGGCAGCAGTTTAAAATGTTACAATTAGTGGGCAGCAGTTTAAAATGTTACATTCAGTGGGCAGCAATTTAAAATCATACATTCAGTGGGCAGCAGTTTAAAATCATACATTCAGTGGGCAGCAATTTAAAATCATACATTCAGTGGGCAGCAGTTCAAAATCATACATTCAGTGGGCAGCAGTTTAAATGGTTACATTCAGTGGGCAGCAGTTTAAAAGGTTACATTCAGTGGGCAGCAGTATAAAAGGTTACATTCAGTGGGCAGCAGTTTAAAATGTTACAATTAGTGGGCAGCAGTTTAAAATCATACATTTAGTGGGCAGCAATTTAAAAGGTTATGTTTAAAATCTTGCAATTAGTGGGCAGAAGTTTAAAATGTTACAATTAGTGGGCAGAAGTTTAAAATGTTACAATTAGTCGGCAGCATTTTAAAATCTTGCAATTAGTGGGCAGAAGTTGAAAATGTTATATTTAGTGGACCAGCAGTTTAAATTTGTTTTCAGAGACAAAAGGTAAACAAATGAACAGAAGGGTTTAGCACAACACAAAGTAAAGGCATGTAGACAACAACACAAAGTAAAGGCATGTAGACAACAACACAAAGTAAAGGCATGTAGACAACAACACAAAGTAAAGGCATGTAGACAGAAACACAAAGTAAAGGCATGTAGACAACAACACAAAGTAAAGGCATGTAGACAACAACACAAAGTAAAGGCATGTAGACAACAACACAAAGTAAAGGCATGTAGACAACAACACAAAGACATGTAGACAATAACACAAAGTAAAGGCATGTAGACAACAACACAAAGTAAAGGCATGTAGACAACAACACAAAGTAAAGGCATGTAGACAACAACACAAAGTAAAGGCATGTAGACTACAACACAAAGTAAAGGCCTGTAGACAACAACACAAAGTAATTTGTAAAGGCATGTAGACAACAACACAAAGTAAAGGCATGTAGACTACAACACAAAGTAAAGGCCTGTAGACAACAACACAAAGTAATTTGTAAAGGCATGTAGACAGCAACACAAAATAAAGACATGTAGACAACAACACAAAGCCATGGTGTAACAAACAGGACAAGAAATGGCTTTACTCTTTTGTTTGGGTACGGAGATCCATAATGTTTGTAGCGATGTTCAGCTGGCATTTTGTTGCTGTACAACTTACGGCTGGCGTCCTCAAGGAATCTGTAATCTGGTGGATATAGACACAATTTTAGTCTGTTGGATATAGACACAATTTTAGTCTGTTGGATATAGACACAATTTTAGTCTGTTGGATATAGACACAATTTTAGTCTGGTGGATATAGACACAATTTTAGTCTGGTGGACATAGACACAATTTTAGTCTGTTTGATATAGACACAATTTTAGTCTGTTGGATATAGACACAATTTTAGTCTGTTGGATATAGACACAATTTAAGTCTGTTGGATATAGACACAATTTCAGTCTGTTGTATATAGACACAATTTTAGTCTGTTGGATATAGACACAATTTTAGTCTGTTGGATATAGACACAATTTTAGTCTGTTGGATATAGACACAATTTTAGTCTGGTGGACATAGACACAATTTTAGTCTGTTGGATATAGACACAATTTTAGTCTGTTGGATATAGACACAATTTTAGTCTGGTGGACATAGACACAATTTTAGTCTGTTGGATATAGACACAATTTTAGTCTGTTGGATATAGACACAATTTTAGTCTGTTGGATATAGACACAATTTTAGTCTGTTGGATATAGACACAATTTTAGTCTGTTGGATATAGACACAATTTTAGTCTGTTGGATATAGACACAATTTTAGTCTGTTGGATATAGACACAATTTTAGTCTGTAGGATATAGACACAATTTTAGTCTGTTGGATATAGACACAATTTTAGTCTGTTGGATATAGACACAATTTTAGTCTGTTGGATATAGACACAATTTTAGTCTGTTGGATATAGACACAATTTTAGTCTGTTGGATATAGACACAATTTTAGTCTGTTGGATATAGACACAATTTTAGTCTGTTGGATATAGACACAATTTTAGTCTGTTGGATATAGACACAATTTTAGTCTGTTGTATCTAGTACAAATCAATATTAAATCAGTAATAGAAAGTTTATCATTTAATGTGTTAAGATAAAAGTCATGATTGAACATGTTTCTCAGGTAAAAAAAAAGTTACCATTTAACATGTGACCATCTGAGTACTGGGACATGTCAACAAAAGTTACCATTTAACATGTGACCATCTGAGTACTGGGACATGTCAATAAAAGTTACCATTTAACATGTGACCATCTGAGTACTGGGACATGTCAACAAAAGTTACCATTTAACATGTGACCACCTGAGTACTGGGATATGTCAACAAAAGTTACCATTTAACATGTGACCATCTGAGTACTGGGACATGTCAACAAAAGTTACCATTTAACATGTGACCATCTGAGTACTGGGACATGTCAACAAAAGTTACCATTTAACATGTGACCATCTGAGTACTGGGACATGTCAACAAAAGTTACCATTTAACATGTGACCATCTGAGTACTGGGACATGTCAACAAAAGTTACCATTTAACATGTGACCATCTGAGTACTGGGACATGTCAACAAAAGTTACCATTTAACATGTGACCATCTGAGTACTGGGACATGTCAACAAAAGTTACCATTTAACATGTGACCATCGGAGTACTGGGACATGTCAACAAAAGTTACCATTTAACATGTGACCATCTGAGTACTGGGACATGTCAACAAAAGTTACCATTTAACATGTGACCATCGGAGTACTGGGACATGTCAACAAAGGCTGCCTTGTTTCTCTCCCCTGAACAGCCCAGCTGTGTCTTGTGCTGTTTGACACAGGACAGCGAGCAGGTCCTCAGCTCACAGCCAGGGCAGGTGTACTTGGCTGCAACCACCTGACACATCTCACACCTGGTGACTGGCTTAGTGCTGTGGATAGTGGGAATACTGGTTTAACTAGGGTTTATACAGTTTGGTTATAACCATGGTTTATACAGTCTAGTTATACCATGGTTTATACAGTCTAGTTATACCATGGTTTATACAGTTTGGTTATAACCATGGTGTGAGGGTGCGAAGGGATCTTTGTTTGAGGTTCTTCTTGTTGCACCAGTTGTGAGGGTGGGGATTTTTACGATGCGAAACGAATGAATCCAATAACACCCAGTTTAAGTTCCAAATACAAAGTTCTTTATTAAAATTATAAATCAATGTCCTATCTAAATGTCCTGTTAAATAATATCTATTACCACTACTATTACTAACTCTACTAACACGCCCTTCCATGACCAATCCTACCACTAACTACCGTTCTCCAGCTCTACATATTACGACCGTCTCTGACCGCTACCTAACAACTCCTGGCCTATCACTCTACTGACCCATGCCTCAGTGGTCAGCTGACCGTCCCACGTGACCGGTCAGTCCTGTGCGCCCATTGGCCTCTCTAACCAACCAACTAGGCCTATAGTCTGTTTCTGCTAAACTATATCTGCTAAACATGTCTGACGTAATCTTGCGTCATCACACATGGTTTATACAGTCAGGTTATAATTATTGTTTATACAGTCTGTTTATAACCATGGTTTATACAGTCTAGTTATACCATGGTTTATACAGTTTGGTTATAACCATGGTTTATACAGTCTGGTTATAACCATGGTTTATACAGTTTGGTTATAACCATGGTTTATACAGTCTGGTTATAACCATGGTTTATACAGTCTGGTTATAATTATTGTTTATACAGTCTGGTTATAACCATGGTTTATACAGTTTGGTTATAATTATTGTTTATACAGTAAAATTATATATAACAATTGGTTATAAAGTCTGATTATAGAGTAAAAATACAGTATAAATATGCTAACAAACTAATAGAGTACTGTGGAGAGTACAATGTGCTGTTTCTATACAATCACTCACAATGTTGTGTGTACCTTTACAATCTCTCACAATGTTGTGTGTACCTTTACACAATCTCTCACAATGGTGTGTGTACCTTTACAATCTCTCACAATGTTGTGTGTACCTTTACAATCTCTCACAATGTTGTGTGTACCTTTACAATCTCTCACAATGTTGTGTGTACCTTTACAATCTCTCACAATGTTGTGTGTACCTTTACAATCTCTCACAATGTTGTGTGTACCTTTACAACCTCTCACAATGGTGTGTGTACCTTTACAATCTCTCACAATGGTGTGTGTACCTTTACAATCTCTCACAATGTTGTGTGTACCTTTACAATCTCTCACAATGTTGTGTGTACCTTTACAATCTCTCACACTGTTGTGTGTACCTTTACAATCTCTCACAATGTTGTGTGTACCTTTACAATCTCTCACAATGTTGTGTGTACCTTTACAACCTCTCACAATGGTGTGTGTACCTTTACAATCTCTCACAATGGTGTGTGTACCTTTACAATCTCTCACAATGTTGTGTGTACCTTTACAATCTCTCACAATGTTGTGTGTACCTTTACAATCTCTCACACTGTTGTGTGTACCTTTACAATCTCTCACACTGTTGTGTGTACCTTTACAATCTCTCACAATGTTGTGTGTACCTTTACAATCTCTCACAATGTTGTGTGTACCTTTACAATCTCTCACAATGGTGTGTGTACCTTTACAATCTCTCACAATGGTGTGTGTACCTTTACAATCTCTCACAATGGTGTGTGTACCTTTACAATCTCTCACAATGGTGTGTGTACATTTACAATCTCTCACAATGTTGTGTGTACCTTTACAATCTCTCACAATGTTGTGTGTACCTTTACAATCTCTCACAATGTTGTGTGTACCTTTACAATCTCTCACAATGTTGTGTGTACCTTTACAATCTCTCACAATGTTGTGTGTACCTTTACAATCTCTCACAATGGTGTGTGTACCTTTACAATCTCTCACAATGGTGTGTGTACCTTTACAATCTCTCACAATGTTGTGTGTACCTTTACAATCTCTCACAATGTTGTGTGTACCTTTACAACCTCTCACAATGTTGTGTGTACCTTTACAATCTCTCACAATGGTGTGTGTACCTTTACAATCTCTCACAATGTTGTGTGTACCTTTACAATCTCTCACAATGTTGTGTGTACCTTTACAACCTCTCACAATGTTGTGTGTACTTTTACAATCTCTCACAATGTTGTGTGTACTGTTACAATCTCTCACAATGTTGTGTGTACCTTTACAATCTCTCACAATGTTGTGTGTACCTTTACAATCTCTCACAATGTTGTGTGTACCTTTACAATCTCTCACAATGTTGTGTGTACCTTTACAACCTCTCACAATGTTGTGTGTACCTTTACAATCTCTCACAATGTTGTGTGTACCTTTACAATCTCTCACAATGTTGTGTGTACCTTTACAATCTCTCACAATGTTGTGTGTACCTTTACAATCTCTCACAATGTTGTGTGTACCTTTACAATCTCTCACAATGTTGTGTGTACCTTTAAAGTCTCTCACAATGGTGTGTGTACCTTTACAATCTCTCACAATGGTGTGTGTACCTTTACAATCTCTCACAATGGTGTGTGTACCTTTACAATCTCTCACAATGTTGTGTGTACCTTTACAATCTCTCACAATGTTGTGTGTACCTTTAAAGTCTCTCACAATGGTGTGTGTACCTTTACAATCTCTCACAATGGTGTGTGTACCTTTACAATCTCTCACAATGTTGTGTGTACCTTTACAATCTCTCACAATGGTGTGTGTACATTTACAATCTCTCACAATGTTGTGTGTACCTTTACAATCTCTCACAATGTTGTGTGTACCTTTACAATCTCTCACAATGATGTGTGTACCTTTACAATCTCTCACAATGTTGTGTGTATTTTTTACAATCTCTCACAATGTTGTGTGTACCTTTACAATCTCTCACAATGTTGTGTGTACCTTTACAATCTCTCACAATGGTGTGTGTACCTTTACAATCTCTCACAATGATGTGTGTACCTTTACAATCTCTCACAATGTTGTGTGTACCTTTACAATCTCTCACAATGTTGTGTGTACCTTTACAACCTCTCGCAATGTTGTGTGTACCTTTACAATCTCTCACAATGTTGTGTGTACCTTTACAACCTCTCACAATGGTGTGTGTACCTTTACAATCTCTCACAATGTTGTGTGTACCTTTACAATCTCTCACAATGCTGTGTGTACCTTTACAATCTCTCACAATGTTGTGTGTACCTTTACAATCTCTCACAATGTTGTGTGTACCTTTAAAGTCTCTCACAATGTTGTGTGTACCTTTACAACCTCTCACAATGGTGTGTTTCCTTTACAATCTCTCACAATGTTGTGTGTACCTTTACAATCTCTCACAATGGTGTGTGTACATTTACAATCTCTCACAATGTTGTGTGTACCTTTACAATCTCTCACAATGTTGTGTGTACCTTTACAATCTCTCACAATGATGTGTGTACCTTTACAATCTCTCACAATGTTGTGTGTATTTTTTACAATCTCTCACAATGTTGTGTGTACCTTTACAATCTCTCACAATGTTGTGTGTACCTTTACAATCTCTCACAATGGTGTGTGTACCTTTACAATCTCTCACAATGATGTGTGTACCTTTACAATCTCTCACAATGTTGTGTGTACCTTTACAATCTCTCACAATGCTGTGTGTACCTTTACAATCTCTCACAATGTTGTGTGTACCTTTACAATCTCTCACAATGTTGTGTGTACCTTTACAACCTCTCACAAGACACATGATTCAGCTTGACTTTAACAACCAAAATTTCCTGTCAACATTACCAACAGTGTTTCTAAGCAGTAACCTCTCTAGTGATTCTCTTGAACTCTCGTAGAAAACATATCTATGTGTGATCTCACCTTAGATATGTTAACTAAATACAAGCACACACAATGTGTCTTTTGTTCCATACCTTCTAGATTGTTCCATGTCAGCACCATGGCAACCAGTAACTGATGTGTCTGGAATAGTTTCTCCACATCCATCAGCTGTCTGGCTGGATAACATGTCCATACAAGCAGTGGCAGCAGAACCTACAAGAATCTACAATCTCAGGCAGGACAGGTTGTCAGGGACCTGTCAGATGTAAGGGATAATGTCTTGAGAGGAGGGACTGGCAGGTTTTTTTGTCAGTCATGTCATTCCTCACTGTGTCCAACAACTTTGTCATTGTTTGCTAAGGTGCGTCACTGATGTGATTTGAAGAATGTGTGACGCTACCATAGCACTCTCGCTCAAGTCAGTACAGCATCCTGTGCTGGGTTTCATAGCACTCTCACTGTGCTGGGTTTCATAGCACTCTCACTGTGCTGGGTTTCATAGCACTCTCACTGTGCTGGGTTTCATAGCACTCTCACTGTGCTGGGTTTCATAGCACTCTCACTGTGCTGGGTTTCATAGCACTCTCACTGTGCTGGGTTTCATAGCACTCTCACTGTGCTGGGTTTCATAGCACTCTCACTGTGCTGGGTTTCATAGCACTCTCTCTGTGCTGGGTTTCATAGCACTCTCACTGTGCTGGGTTTCATAGCACTCTCACTGTGCTGGGTTTCATAGCACTCTCACTGTGCTGGGTTTCATAGCACTCTCACTGTGCTGGGTTTCATAGCACTCTCGCTGTGCTGGGTTTCATAGCACTCTCACTGTGCTGGGTTTCATAGCACTCTCACTGTGCTGGGTTTCATAGCACTCTCACTGTGCTGGGTTTCATAGCACTCTCACTGTGCTGGGTTTCATAGCACTCTCACTGTGCTGGGTTTCATAGCACTCTCACTGTGCTGGGTTTCATAGCACTCTCACTGTGCTGGGTTTCATAGCACTCTCACTGTGCTGGGTTTGTTTCTTGTTAGCCCTTAGCTTAGATTGCTGCCTCTTGTTTATTAAGTGGTAGAGGACTAAAACTAATGATTGTCTGGTAATCAGGTCATTTTAGTAATTGAATTAGCCAGGGCAGAGTATATTTGAATTAGTAAATTCAGAGTAAATACTATTTGGACCTAAAATTTAGTTTATCTTGCATGAATAAGAAAATTAAATTCTCTTAATATTGGTGCATTTCAAGTCAACTTAATTCTAAACCAAGCATAAATCACAATAATGACTATTTTTAAAACAACAACTTAAAGACATATTTTCACAAAACTTGGTGAAAATCTAGGGTAAGGATGGAAAGGCTATAGGTTTTTTAAGAGGATATGCACAGAAAAAAAATCACCAAAATTTTTGCACTTTTGAATTCTTTGTCCATTTTTGTATTAAGAAAATAATATCATTTTTTAAAATGTGATCAGTATGTTAAGCGATATATGGAGAACTTAAAGATACAGACTTTTGTTGAAAATAATATGGTGGATGTTATAAATGTATAAACTAAATTTTATTTAAAGAAGGAAAATAAAAATAAAGGCATATTCGAACTATTTCATTCAAATTTGATTTCGATCTACTCTACTAACCAAGAAGTATGCTATGAAATGTATACAATTTTGACGATGGCTTCATAATCATTAGTATGTTTATCCAAGTCAACCGCATAGTAAAAGCGAAACTGGTCGCCATTTTAGTAAGCCTATGGGACGTGAGATAGCATGAAAACAAACATACCCAGAAGCCTCCTAAATTCTATTTTAATGAAGGTCACAGGTCAAGTATTTTTTCCTTCAGTCAAGTTCAATGGAGGGTGCCACAGGCTGACCTGACTTTGGCATTTTTTTCAGTAGGCCTAACAATATTATTAATAATGACTGCACATAAAGTTAAAATATGCTAAAAAGTTGGCTTAGTTTACTAAATGGCTAGCAAAAGTATTAGACATTAGGGCACCATTTGGCCTATTTTTATTGATAGTTTGAAAATGATACTCAATGATAGTGATAGGCATAATGTTTTGGAAGTGGCTATTCGGACCCGGAGTCGGAACCAATCTAAGCTCTCGTTTTTGCGAGACGTAATGTGTATTGAACTAAGTTTAATGTTCTATCTTGATAGCTGAGTTATTTGCCTAGGTGTCATTTTTTTTTAATTTTTTAACAGTTTATATTTTTTATTCTAAATTTAGGTTTTTAAACACGCCAATTATAAACATCGTTGCTCCATTGATCGCCAGCTCACGTTTTCTCGTCAGCGTAAAAAAATACCGAGACAGTCTATCTAGGGTCACTGTGAGCAGAACCAGCGTTAGGAATACGCGGGGCCTAGGGCCAATCTTCTGCGCGGGACTTCCTTTTTTCCATTATATAAAAAGCCTATATATATACATATATATATATATATATATATATATATATATATATATATATATATATATATATATATATATAAGCCTATTGTATATAATATACATGCACACATATTAACACATAAATATTTTGGAGTATAAACTAATACCAAACGTATCACTTTAATAACAGATGTTTATCACTCCCACGTTTTAACCCAATGTTCTTAGTCGTCCGTCCCCCCGCCCCAACCCAGCAAGAGAGAAAAAAGGATTTGGGGTCATTGTAAGTTCAAATGTTATATATTGCTTCTATTAAAGCGTACTACAATGCATTTGAGATAGTGTTGAAGAAAACTGGTCCGGGACTATAGCCTATAATGAGCTATTTTATACAATTATTATTATTATTATTATTATTGTATTTGGACTGATAGGCCTATGAAATCAAATTACGTTTAACAGAAGAAAAAATAAAACATTTTACATGCGCGCTCAACATTCGCTCGGCCAGAGAAGTTCATACCATAGGCCATATATTATTATAGACCTAATGACTCCCGCTCGACATAACATTTGTCAGGAGGAATGATATCAATCATGTATTCAAAGCAAGATCTCAATATATCATTTCGAATTACAAGGAAAAAATCACAACAACAGAAAAGATATATTCTGCATCTTAAAAGAATTATTATAACTAAATCTTAACAACTTTATTGGGTGCCAATAACGGCTATTGGGACCCGGGTCCGAATAATACATGCATGCTAATTTTTAGTGTTTTGCTAACTCGGAGGCATGGCCGGTTGCTAACAACAATATGGCATACAGACCGGATGCATGAGCACCGACGATTTTTCGTCTTAGTTCCAGTGACCTTCTTAGAATTACTGTTTAAAATGTTTACCACAAGCAAAATTCGCGGGGTTTTCGCTTTATAAAAACAAACCATAGGTGGCAGGGCTAGATACGCCAGAAAAGCATTTTAAAATTTTGTTTGGAGAATGGTGGCTAAATTCAAAAGTTGGTTTCATTAAAATTAATAGAACTTAATTTGTAATGTAAAAAAAAAAAAACATTTAATAAATAATAATAATAATTTAATAAATAAAACATTCTAAAGTTCCCCATCCAAACCTGACGGTCTATGAGGAAAGTGAAGTAAAAATGAGCGAGAATGTATTAATTTTATCAGTCTATGAAAAAAGAAATCAAATATTGTGAGCTGTTTTTTATATAAGGCCGGTGTCCATATCACAACCAATTTATTTTTATATTTTAAAAACCACAATGACTGCTATTTAGCTCAATTAAAAAGTTGAACCAATTCGTGGTTTGCCGTGGCTTCAGACGAAAGTTGAGTTGTCATGGAGAGGTGTGTCGTGTCATGGCAGTGAGTGACAATGTCACAATATTTATTAAATTAAGTAGGCCTAATTTAGTTAAAAATGAACTAAAAACTTCAAAATTAGTGCCTAATGGATTAAATATATAATTATATGGATGTCGTTTGTATTCAGTGGTCATGTGTAAATTGAAAATTGCGTACATTTTAGATTTAGTGAGAAAATCTACTTAACTAGATTCTAGATCTAGGCCCTAGAATATTCTAGATTTAGATTCTAGATCTAATTAGTAAATAGGCCTACTAGTCTAATTTCAACAATTTTTATTAAAAAATCATTTTGAAATTTTTATCAAAATGCCTTAAATTTAAAATCTAGATTCTAGATTATCATTTAAAGACATTTATCTAGATCTAGAATAATCTAGATCTGGGTAAAACTCCATTTTAGCGTATTTTATTTCTCCGCTGCTTGTTTACCTCCAGTTGAGCGTATTTTATTATAACAACCGAAACAATTAAAACACACCAAAACACGATTCATTTATTTGTATTGTATTTTTGTTTTAACAAATTAATAAAAATGAATAAAAAAAACAAAGAGACTGACTTTGTTTAAGATTTTGATAATTTAGTTTTGTTAAAACTTGAGAAAAATCCGAACTTAGAATATTGAATGTGCAATGTTCGTGTGTCCGAATTTTCATGGCAATGGGTGAAGTACGTAAACGTAACTCACAATTGCAAGGCGGTTAAGTTTGTATTGTTACAAGTATCTCCCAGGCATGATACTATAAATAAACATTAATGAACTTACAATGACCCCAAAACTGAGGCCAACACAATTTCAAATAGCAATTGCCCAAGCTATGACGTATGCTGATAATTCAAGTCAATGTGAACTCACGGTGAACCCGCGACCCTGTTAGGATTTTTCTCCCGCTGACGATTACACGAATAATAATAATTGGAACAGTTCTAGGCCCTAATACCTAATGCTTTTTATGTTTTTTTTACCTTTTCTAATTAAAAATCACATTCATTAAAAAAATAAGTAGATGTAGTGTTTTCCTGACGTTTTTGTGTGTTTTGGTTGTGTTTATAATAATACGCTCAACTGGAGGTGAACGTGAAGCGGGGAATAAAATACGCTAAAATGGAGTTTTACCCTAGATCTAGATCTGGATTCTAGACTCTTCTAGAGGGTGTGAGGAAATTGCGAGACGCGAAAAGCGAAGCGGGAAAATGCGAGAAGGGCGCGAAAACGGTCGGTCACGTGACTTTTTGTCTCGCATTTTACCACAACCCAATACTTACGCTGGGTGGTGTTGAAATGCGAAGATTTCTGCGAAAAATTTACCGCACCCGATTTTCAGTGGTATTTGGTCCAGACTTCAAAGACGTTTTGTTTACATTGTTAAAACTTCCAATTTTTCCGTCGCTAGACATACTGATGATGTGTCGACTTAGAATACCACCTTGTTCGAAACCGACGGAAATACCGCAGACGATAGATCAACTTCTGTCTTTTGTGTGGAACGCAGAGGCCGTCTGATTTACCGTCTTTGAAGATCACCGTGCCCGGATCCGCTGCCGCCGCAAACATATTTTCTATTGTTGCATAGAAATTTTGTATTATAGCCTTCTACGCTTTTTTCCTAGCTTTTTTTGCCATATAAATATAAGCACAAGGAAATGCCTACATCATTTGGATACAAGTATTCCGGAGGTAAGAACTACTTACTGTGTGTTTTCTCTTCCAATGTTCCTTTACTTTACACTAATTTATATTAGATTTTATATCACGGTGGTGACTTTTCCGAATTTTACCATAAATGTTATATTATTATTTATTAATTAATTGTAAATATATATAAAAATGTATTATTTATTATTTCCATAAACAAGTCAGAAAAAATAACCTCAAATTAAGTATGCGATTACTGCCCTATGTGAAGGTGAGGACTAGATTAACCCTCCCTTATGTGTTGCTTATTCCTAAGTTTTTATGAACTCTCAGTGCCCCCAGTTTTTTTCTCTTACTTGCTGTTTGGGGGGGGGGGGGGGGGGGGGGGGGGGGGAATAAAAGTGACGTCACCGATATTATCAGTTGCTCGTTCTATGTCGTAAGCTATGGGCCTACTTCAAATATTTTTTAAACCAATTTGAATTTATCTGAATTTTTTGGTTTTCGTGGTGGTGTTATTTGGGGTCTTCCATTAATGACGTCACACTCGTATGGGGGGAGAGAGGAGGGGGTCTGTAATTTTATGACGATGTGTGAAGAGGGGAAGGAGGGGGGTTAGACGTTGTGAAGTCACACTAAAAAAAAGAAATGTTGGAAAAAGAATTTTAGACGTTTTTTTCGCGTTTTAGAAAACTGTTTTAATAAATTATAATATAAATTGATTAAAATACTCTATTTTGACCGAAATTAGACAAGATTTTTGGGATCGATCTATCTTCTTAGTATCTATCTATCTATATAATAAATTCTAGATAAAAATTAACAACATACAACACTCGTGTTAAAGGGTATGGCTAGCCGCTAAATGCTTGTTTATTTTAAAACATGAAGAAAAACTTTTTTTTTTCGCAAAAGGTGTCTCGCTATTTACCCTTGATTCCGCAGGTATGTCTCGCATTATCTTCTCGCATTTTCCCGCCTCGCCATTTCGCTTTTCGCGTCTCGCAATTTCCAAACACCCACTCTACTGACTCTAGGCCCTAAAAGTAAATTCTAAAATAAATTAATAACTTAATAATATTAGGGCCTAATAGGCCTATTTACTACCTAGATAGATCTAGATCTGTTTATTTAATAGATGGAACCACTATTTAACGGCTTACTGTCTGTTGATTCTTCTAGCAAAGCTATGAAACTTAAACGTTCATCAGCCTCATGCTTTGTAATTGTTTGTTGATAGAGAAAACACAACAGAGTAGCCTCCCATTCTATAAATGGGGGAAAAAACCAAGAAATAAAAAACATTCGCTTTTTTACAAAATTTGCAAAATGTTAAATAAATCAGTCTTGAATTCTACTCAACGGGTGATTTGATGTAACAACATAATTAAGTATTAATTAGATCTATATTAGAACATATCTTTTTAAAATGTGTTTATAATAACAAATTTTAAAATGTTCTAAAAACAAGAAATTATAAGCGTCTATGTAAATCTACATTTTCTTTTTCATAGTCAAAGGCGGAACTTGATGGATAAAAATTCTAAATTTTGCCCATGATGTAGATCAGGGGTCTCCAAACTTTTCAGTCCGAGGGCCGCATTAACTATCAAATTTCAGTTCGGGGGCCAGTTTCTTCCAGGCATGTCTTTGATTTTCCTCGGCAAAGTTCCTCAGTCATCACCAACAAACTGTTTTTCCGTGGACAAAAACATCTCCGCGGGCCGGATGAGAGGACATCGCGGGCCGCATCCGGCCCGCGGGCCGTAGTTTGGAGACCCCTGATGTAGATGTATAGGTACACAAGAAAGTCCTAAAATTATATAGTAATATAGATTCTATATTCCTGTAAAACAAGATGATCTAGCTGTTTTACAAGCTTTTATTTAACTTGCTTTCTCTGTCTTCAGTCTGTCGTCAGTCTGTCTAGAAAGTGGCGGATAAAGGGGTGGGGGGGAGGAGCTGAGGAGACTTCAGTCAGGGACCCCTAATTTTCACTTACGAACCATAGTAAATTACACTTTACTACTTAGTGGTTGTTTGTTTTTTTGCTATAAAAATCAATGTTTTAATGCGTAAATCACATTTTGTTTTCATTTTTTTTTCAAAATAACAAACAAAGTTATACCACAAACAGCAGCGGAATTCAGACCAAAAAAATTAGGGCTTTTTAAAAATAGTAAGATAGGAATTTGAAAGTCATTTAGTCAGATAACGCCATATTGTGTAGTAAGGGACTAATGGACAAAATAAAACACAAATGTTACGCATAGGGTCTACACTGTTTATATTAAATCGCACTCGCAAGCATTCATACCACGTTTTTGTAAGATAAGAATTGTGTTTTAACTGTTTTTTATTGGAAATGACAGGTCGGATAGTAGCGATGTTGTATGTACAAGTTAATAATAGTTAAAACCGAATCTAGACGCCAAGTGTTAGCAACAAGGACATGGTGGGGTTTATCTCAAGAGTACCGAAAATTGAAGTCATGAGGCCTTAGCTCGTCCCCAGATTTTAGGGGCTCCCAAATTTTCACATTTTAACAATAATATACACAATTCATCGATTTTCCTTGCGATTTATGTTTTTACAATCTCAATGAATGTGTTAACGTTTAAACGATAAGCTTATTTTTTTTTTACAAACACATCATTTTGACATTTATTCTCCCATGAAAATATACATTTCTCCTTAAGACAGACACAAACGCACAAGCTGTACAGTGCTGTCATCGCTTCCCTCAGACAATGTTTATTAAAGAGAGCTGTCCTTAAAATAATAAAACGTGTGACACTGGACTAAAAAAATGCTTTTTATAGACCCCCTAATGTTTTAACATAATTTACCCGAGGGGGGGGGGGGGATATTTCAGTATATGTTCGTCGAGTGCGTCTGTACGTGCTGATCATCTTGACTCACACTAACATTCTTCAAGTTGTGATAATGTGTTTATTTTTCTGTACATTTATTCAGCTCCCCCCCTATATAGTTGCATGGAGTTTTTACACAATGCATATGTACAAAATGTCTTGGAAAATGTTATAGATCAGATAGTTCCATTTATGATAGAATTGAAATATTAAAACTGTGATATTTAGGGTACATAATTCCTAGTTTCAGTAATGTGTTTGCTGTTATTGTTTTTGCGTGTGTGTGTCGGGACGTAGTTTTAAATGTTATTCAATTAGGGCCTATTCTCCGAAAAGCCGCCAATATCCTTAAAATGGTCGTAGGTGGAGCGATCGCTCTCCTTGCTTCCCCCCCCCCCCCGGCCTTTGCGTACGCTACATGACGCCATTCACTTGTTGACCTACATTAATTAGTGTGAGATCTCTAATAAAACGGATATTCCCTATTTTGGAGCACCGCTTTGAACTAGACACTAATGGATATAGTCTAGTGTTTAGCTGTCGCTCTATTTAGATGAATGACGAAGAAAATAAAATAGCGCGAATTTTTGTGAATTACACGTAGCCTACGAAAACATTTTTAGAGAAAGGCGATTTGTAAAATGGGATCAGTGCAACAGTTAAAGGCGCTTTTATGGAAACATTTCCTTATCAAAAGGCGTTCAATCCATAGTATTTTAGCAGAGTTAGGTAAGTGGATCCCGTGTGTATATCTAACTCTACTTGGGCGCCCAAACTAAGGTAGTAGTTTTCATAGGGGTTAAAGGCTTAACTGATCACTACTTATTAGGCCTATATTTATGTAGCCTATGTGGTGTTTATATATATATATATATATATATGTATATATATATATATATATATATATATATATATATATATATATATATTCGCATGTGAATGTGTGTGTGAAAACCTCGGGCAGAGGCTCTCCATTCCTACCTAGACCTAAATAGACTAGCTCCTTATGACACTTTAATACAGATACCAGACACTCCTTACCTAGTAGTAGATGAACTACATAAAACACATTAATACTTGATGATCAGAGTTTCTTCCAGGCATATCTTCGCCCCCCCCCCCCCACGCCCCCGAAAAAGTCTACTCCCCCCAGTGGCGTAGCCAGGATCGTCTCAAGGGGGGGTTCCAATTTTTACCCGGGGACAAACTTTCGATTTGCACCCCCGCCCCCTCAAACTTTCGATTTGCACCCCCCTTATATTTTTTATATATAACGAGGGGTCTATGGGGGGGGTGGGGTTATGACCCCCTAACCCCCCCTGCCTACGCCACTGAACCCCCCCCCCCCCCCGAACGAGATGGATTTTCTATAGTAAACATACATTTTTACTAGTGTCCGCCGCCCCCCCCCCCCCTGAAAAATGTTGAGCCCCCCCCCCCCCCCCCCGGAGAAAAAAGTCTGGAAGAAACACTGTTGATGATATATACGGTTAGGCAAAATTCAACCAATTTTCTTTGTTCCCAGTGGTCCTGTGCTGTAACCAATGCTCTTGTTCCCAGTGGTCCTGTGCTGTAACCAATGCTCTTGTTCCCAGTGGTCCTGTGCTGTAACCAATGCTCTTGTTTAGTGTTCCCAGTGGTCCTTTGCTGTAACCAATGCTCTTGTTCCCAGTGGTCCTGTGCTGTAACCAATGCTCTTGTTCCCAGTGGTCCTGTGCTGTAACCAATGCTCTTGTTCCCAGCAGTCCTGTGCTGTAACCAATGCTCTTGTTTAGTGTTCCCAGTGGTCCTGTGCTGTAACCAATGCTCTTGTTCCCAGTGGTCCTGTGCTATAACCAATGCTCTTGTTCCCAGTGGTCCTGTGCTGTAACCAATATTCTTGTTTAGTGTTCCCAGTGGTCCTGTGCTGTAACCAATGCTCTTGTTCCCAGTGGTCATGTGCTGTAACCAATGCTCTTGTTTAGTGTTCCCAGCAGTCCTGTGCTGTAACCAATGCTCTTGTTCTCAGTGGTCCTGTGCTGTAACCAATGCTCTTGTTTAGTGTTCCCAGTGGTCCTGTGCTGTAACCAATGCTCTTGTTTAGTGTTCCCAGTGGTCCTGTGCTGTAACCAATGCTCTTGTTCCCAGTGGTCCTGTGCTGTAACCAATGCTCTTGTTTAGTGTTCCCAGTGGTCCTGTGCTGTAACCAATGCTCTCGTTCCCAGTGGTCCTGTGCTGTAACCAATGCTCTTGTTTAGTGTTCCCAGTGGTCCTGTACTGTAACCAATGTTCTTGTTTAGTGTTCCCAGTGGTCCTGTGCTGTAACCAATGCTCTTGTTCCCAGTGGTCCTGTGCTGTAACCAATGCTCTTGTTCCCAGTGGTCCTGTGCTGTAACCAATGCTCTTGTTTAGTGTTCCCAGCGGTCCTTTGCTATAACCAATGCTCTTGTTTAGTGTTCCCAGTGGTCCTGTGCTGTAACCAATGCTCTTGTTCCCAGCGGTCCTGTGCTGTAAACAATGCTCTTGTTTCCAGTGGTCCTGTGCTGTAACCAATGCTCTTGTTCCCAGTGGTCCTGTGCTGTAACCAATGCTCTTGTTTCCAGTGGTCCTGTGCTGTAACCAATGCTCTTGTTCCTAGTGGTCCTGTACTGTAACCAATGCTCTTGTTCCTAGTGGTCCTGTACTGTAACCAATGCTCTTGTTCCCAGTGGTCCTATGCTGTAACCAATACTCTTGTTCCCAGTGGTCCTGTGCTGTAACCAATGCTCTCGTTCCCAGTGGTCCTGTGCTGTAACCAATGCTCTTGTTCCCAGTGGTCCTGTGCTGGAACCAATGCTCTTGTTCCCAGTGGTCCTGTGCTGTAACCAATGCTCTTGTTCCTAGTGGTCCTGTGCTGTAACCAATGCTCTTGTTCCCAGTGGTCCTGTGCTGTAACCAATGCTCTTGTTCCTAGTGGTCCTGTGCTGTAACCAATGCTCTTGTTCCCAGTGGTCCTGTGCTGTAACCAATGCTCTTGTTTAGTGTTCCCAGTGGTCCTGTGCTGTAACCAATGCTCTTGTTTAGTGTTCCCAGTGGTCCTGTGCTGTAACCAATGCTCTTGTTCCCAGTGGTCCTGTGCTGTAACCAATGCTCTTGTTTAGTGTTCCCAGTGGTCCTGTGCTGTAACCAATGCTCTTGTTCCCAGTGGTCCTGTGCTGTAACCAATGCTCTTGTTCCTAGTGGTCCTGTACTGTAACCAATGCTCTTGTTCCCAGCAGTCCTGTGCTGTAACCAATGCTCTTGTTTAGTGTTCCCAGTGGTCCTGTGCTGTAACCAATGCTCTTGTTCCCAGTGGTCCTGTGCTGTAACCAATGCTCTTGTTTAGTGTTCCCAGTGGTCCTGTGCTGTAACCAATGCTCTTGTTTAGTGTTCCCAGTGGTCCTGTGCTGTAACCAATGCTCTTGTTTAGTGTTCCCAGCGGTCATGTGCTGTAACCAATGCTCTTGTTTAGTGTTCCCAGTGGTCCTGTGCTGTAACCAATGCTCTTGTTCCCAGTGGTCCTGTGCTGTAACCAATGCTCTTGTTCCCAGTGGTCATGTGCTGTAACCAATGCTCTTGTTTAGTGTTCCCAGCAGTCCTGTGCTGTAACCAATGCTCTTGTTCTCAGTGGTCCTGTGCTGTAACCAATGCTCTTGTTTAGTGTTCCCAGTGGTCCTGTGCTGTAACCAATGCTCTTGTTTAGTGTTCCCAGTGGTCCTGTGCTGTAACCAATGCTCTTGTTCCCAGTGGTCCTGTGCTGTAACCAATGCTCTTGTTTAGTGTTCCCAGTGGTCCTGTGCTGTAACCAATGCTCTTGTTCCCAGTGGTCCTGTGCTGTAACCAATGCTCTTGTTTAGTGTTCCCAGTGGTCCTGTACTGTAACCAATGTGCTTGTTTAGTGTTCCCAGTGGTCCTGTGCTGTAACCAATGCTCTTGTTCCCAGTGGTCCTGTGCTGTAACCAATGCTCTTGTTCCCAGTGGTCCTGCGCTGTAACCAATGCTCTTGTTTAGTGTTCCCAGCGGTCCTTTGCTATAACCAATGCTCTTGTTTAGTGTTCCCAGTGGTCCTGTGCTGTAACCAATGCTCTTGTTCCCAGCGGTCCTGTGCTGTAAACAATGCTCTTGTTTCCAGTGGTCCTGTGCTGTAACCAATGCTCTTGTTCCCAGTGGTCCTGTGCTGTAACCAATGCTCTTGTTTAGTGTTCCCAGTGGTCCTGTGCTGTAACCAATGCTCTTGTTCCCAGTGGTCCTGTGCTGTAACCAATGCTCTTGTTCCCAGCGGTCATGTGCTGTAACCAATGCTCTTGTTTAGTGTTCCCCGTGGTCCTGTGCTGTAACCAATGCTCTTGTTCCCAGTGGTCCTGTGCTGTAACCAATGCTCTTGTTCCCAGTGGTCCTGTGCTGTAACCAATGCTCTTGTTCCCAGTGGTCCTGTGCTGTAACCAATGCTCTTATTCCTAGTGGTCCTGTGCTGTAACCAATGCTCTTGTTCCCAGTGGTCCTGTGCTGTAACCAATGCTCTTGTTTCCAGTGGTCCTGTGCTGTAACCAATGCTCTTGTTCCTAGTGGTCCTGTACTGTAACCAATGCTCTTGTTCCTAGTGGTCCTGTACTGTAACCAATGCTCTTGTTCCCAGTGGTCCTATGCTGTAACCAATACTCTTGTTCCCAGTGGTCCTGTGCTGTAACCAATGCTCTTGTTCCCAGTGGTCCTGTGCTGGAACCAATGCTCTTGTTCCCAGTGGTCCTGTGCTGTAACCAATGCTCTTATTTAGTGTTCCCAGTGGTCCTGTGCTGTAACCAATGCTCTTGTTTAGTGTTCCCAGCAGTCCTGTGCTGTAACCAATGCTCTTGTTTAGTGTTCCCAGTGGTCCTGTGCTGTAACCAATGCTCTTGTTCCCAGTGGTCCTATGCTGTAACCAATGCTCTTGTTCCCAGTGGTCCTGTGCTGGAACCAATGCTCTTGTTCCCAGTGGTCCTGTGCTGTAACCAATGCTCTTGTTTAGTGTTCCCAGTGGTCCTGTGCTGTAACCAATGCTCTTGTTTAGTGTTCCCAGTGGTCCTGTGCTGGAACCAATGCTCTTGTTCCCAGTGGTCCTATGCTGTAACCAATGCTCTTGTTCCCAGTGGTCCTGTGCTGTAACCAATGCTCTTGTTTAGTGTTCCCAGTGGTCCTGTGCTGTAACCAATGCTCTTGTTTAGTGTTCCCAGTGGTCCTGTGCTGGAACCAATGCTCTTGTTCCCAGTGGTCCTGTGCTGTAACCAATGCTCTTATTTAGTGTTCCCAGTGGTCCTGTGCTGTAACCAATGCTCTTGTTCCCAGTGGTCCTGTGCTGTAACCAATGCTCTTGTTTAGTGTTCCCAGTGGTCCTGTGCTGTAACCAATGCTCTTGTTCCCAGTGGTCCTGTGCTGTAACCAATGCTCTTGTTCCTAGTGGTCCTGTACTGTAACCAATGCTCTTGTTCCCAGCAGTCCTGTGCTGTAACCAATGCTCTTGTTTAGTGTTCCCAGTGGTCCTGTGCTGTAACCAATGCTCTTGTTCCCAGTGGTCCTGTGCTGTAACCAATGCTCTTGTTTAGTGTTCCCAGTGGTCCTGTGCTGTAACCAATGCTCTTGTTTAGTGTTCCCAGTGGTCCTGTGCTGTAACCAATGCTCTTGTTTAGTGTTCCCAGTGGTCCTGTGCTGTAACCAATGCTCTTGTTTAGTGTTCCCAGTGGTCATGTGCTGTAACCAATGCTCTTGTTTAGTGTTCCCAGTGGTCCTGTGCTGTAACCAATGCTCTTGTTCCCAGTGGTCATGTGCTGTAACCAATGCTCTTGTTCCCAGTGGTCCTGTGCTGTAACCAATGCTCTTGTTTAGTGTTCCCAGTGGTCCTGTGCTGTAACCAATGCTCTTGTTCCCAGTGGTCCTGTGCTGTAACCAATGCTCTTGTTTAGTGTTCCCAGTGGTCCTGTGCTGTAACCAATGCTCTTGTTCCCAGTGGTCCTGTGCTGTAACCAATGCTCTTGTTTA